TTCGAACGAATCGATTGTTTGTATTCTTTTAGCTTTTCCTCCTTATAATCGAATAAATTATTGCCTATCAGAAATAGATGGATAGTACCATTATGATGAAATGCACCCAACCTCGGGTGGGCTTGGAGAAATTCTTCCATTTCAATTCCCAAGTGATTCGCTGGCAGAGGAACCGTTCATGGCTTACTGCTTTACAAAATAAATGGTCCATCAAGCAATTTTTTAAAAATATTCATTAAATATACCTATTTTCAAGAAATCCCTTTTTCTTTCCTACTTAATTCATAATTCATAATTAAATTCATATTTTTTAAATGTTCTTTTCGATTGATCTTTTTTTTGATATGGGCTCCGAATCGATCGAAGTTTATTATCACTATCAATATATCAACATACAATCATGTATACCATGAGTTAATTATTCGAATTCATCCTAATCTCATTGTGTATCTTATAGTTCATTAAGAATTTGATCACTTGAATGCTATTTAATTGGATATTTTTTCCGATATTAGAAGAAAAGAAGATTATTGGTTATCCGTTTGTTTTCAACAAATGAACAAATGCAACAATTTTTATAATTTTCGCATTGAAAAGCAATGCAATTTTGTTATTTTTATTTTAAAAATAAAATTTTAACAATTTTAATTATTTTGTTACCGATAAATCGATATTAATTTTTCGATATTAATAAATCGATATTAATTTTTAAAAAAGAAGATTTTTTAATTTATTATGCACTTTTGCCATGAATATTTCCATTTTCACGTAATTTCCGCATTTTGTGTTTCCACGAATTTATCACGGAAATAAGCAAATATTTCTTGCAATTTTTAAAATTTTTTTAAAATAAGAAGTAAAGAAATAAATTTGTAAGAAAAAATTTTTAAATTTATAAGCAGATTAATAAAATATATATAACTGACGCAAATGAACGCTTGCGTAAGACATTATCGTTTGCGCAAATAAACGTTTGCGTAAGTAAACGTTTGCGCAAACGAGCCGACAACAGCTTCTATTGTCAATAGACTGGTTCACCTTAATTCATCGTAATTCTATGCCGTTCATATGCAAACGCTTTGATGCTTACTTCAATAGGGAATTTTTCTAAGAATTTATTTGAGATCCATGTGTAAATTTTAAATTTTCAACGCCGACATTAGCAAAGTAAAAGAGTCGAGTTGCACGATTCAATGTCGCCATCGTTTCAGTCAGAGTCAAGGATTCGATTCCTCTCCACTGACCTGAGTCATTAAAAGTGGAGCGCCTCTAAAATACGGCGGGTGTTTGAGGCTCAGTTCAGATCCTCTGGCGAAGGCAATAAAGCAAACTAAACGAGAAACACTGTCGCATTAAGACGATATCATTATAATTTTGATATTTAAGTCTGAAAGTAAATCTTTAAAATTTTATATTTGAATTCGAAAGAAATAAAAATTTTTGGAATTAAAACCATGTTAGCCGCAATATTTTTGCCATTTCCAACGTTAACAATAAAAGTCTTTTTAGTTTTACAGAAAGTATCAGAATTCGGTGAATTCGGTGTATAAAATAAACGATCATCTATTTCCACTCGAGGACATTAAATTACCGTATGTTGGTTCACTGCGCAGTTGTTTATATGTGAACATTCTGTAAATTTCCGGCTTGTCGTTGCTGCATTTGGAAAAAAGCTTCAGCCGCATTTCACTTTCCTCTAACGCTTTCTGCTTTCTATCTCCGATGATATCAATGGTTCGCAGATTATTCGTCTTATAACGACTAGAATTTTTCTTATAGCTGAATCGTGAACAGCAATTTAAACAAAAGACTGATATCTTGTTGGCTGGCGATTTTAATTTTTTCAGGACGTGGCAAATTTACTAGATTTGTCGCATTTGATAGTTTATTTAAACTGCTTGCATGTCTCATCAATGTTCAGAATCTGGCAATTTTGCAAGACCAATTGATTCGCACGTTCAGAATTCCGAAATGCCTTATCGATGAATTAATGATTGTGGTGACATTTTGGAAGTGAACTAGCTATTATTCGGTGAAACAGTATTTTTTGAAATAATATTGATATATTCTTTGAAATTATTTCTGGTATTCCTAATGTGTTATTCTATACGATGGATGATGTTATACGAAGACTCTACCAGCCCTATGATTTTAGAATTCCGAAGCAATAGTTTGCTTCGATTAAAACATCTTGGCTAATTTTACATTATTTTCTTTTTCTACTGTATCGTTATTTTGAATGCATCTTAGCTAAGCACATAATCTATTCATTGCATTTGCATTTAACATCCTCAACAATAAGATCGATGTCAACTTTTGATGATTTAAAATAGTGGAAATTGGATAAGACGAAACTAGATACTTCAATAGACTCTAGGATCCTTGTAATTTATTTTCAAGTACTGTGACGTATTTTTGCTAGTTCCCGGCGTCACCAACGCTTTTCCTTTATTGGTTTTATTGGGTTAAATACTTCACGTCTATCTCTTCTCACTGAAAAACCACCACATTGTTGTTTATTTTTTGTTGTTGCTTCCTTTCATCCATTGTTCATTGCTTTAATGTGTACGTTATTACAGTGGTTCTTTTTATAGAATGCACAGGAGTTTGTAAGTGCTATTAGATGTATGAACAGAGCAGCTTCTGTTGGGAGATTGCTAAAAGATAAGTTGTATTGCCAGATTATTGGTAAAATGGTTTGTTACCGAATTGTTTATAAATGGTGCTCGTTTATCAATTTTGATTCACTTATCAGCCATCGGCGGAAATCTGTATGTATTGGAAAGTAATACAGTTTTTCGAAAAAAGGAACAGTGCATGCCAAAGGTTGCATTCTTTCCCTATAATATTCAAATGTGCGATAGAAGGGATTATGAAGGAAATAGTAATGCACATCAGTCAAAAATCTGGTATGCTGATGGTGCAATCTTTTTTGCTGATAGAATTTTGATTGGAAGATGGGCAAGTTCCTCATAACTGAAGCTCTTTTGAAGAAAAAAAAAATTAGCCCGTGTAACGAGTTTGCGAAAAAACCGTATCAATGTAAATAGGATATCTTTCGTATAACTTATGCCTTTTGTACATTGAGAAAATACCTTATTCATCTTTAAATTTAGCATTGAAGGTGAACAATTTCTTAAATCATTCTTGCAATGGATAATCGTAAATATTCTCTTGTCTAAAATTTCTATGGAATCAGCATCGCAAAAATGGATATTAGCAGCTATCTGGATCTTACTGCAAAACATTGCCAAAGAGAGTGGAAGATATCAAAAAGCCATCTATGTTTAATCACATATGCCTAAGGAGCTTCTTGCGTGATCCCCGAGTGGATATAGCAGATGATTCGCTTAAATATTATAATTCCTCAGAGTGTAGCTTATACTTATACTAATAGCTTATACTTAAACCATACTCTTCTTTATCCATCGCAGGAATTGAGATATAGTTCTATGATGGATGATATCAAAAGTAAGAATCAGTCAGAACCATTTTAATTATTTTTAATGAGTATCATTTTAATTGTTTTCAATTAGTATTTTTAGATAGGTCCATTAGGCCCAAAAAAATGTGACGGAAAAAGGAGTGCCTTGTCTAAAAGCCTAAGCCTCATCCTCACTCATCCGTGCAAGCCTAACCATTTATAATGCGAGTTGTTAGATGAAGAAAAACTTGGTCCCAATAATAAGTCCAACCATAGCCTAACTCTATCATAAATGTAAACCTGGGCCTAACAATAAAAAATGTTATTTCTTATCAAATTATTTATTTCATATTATTCATGAATTGAGAAAAAGTTTTAGTGGTACCATTTTAAGTTTTTAAGTTTTCAGTGGTTTTAAGTTTTTTTCCGATTTTTGATAGAATTAAAAGATTTTTTTTAAAAATCATTAGAAATAACATTTGTATTAACATTAATTAATAATAATTAATTAATTAAAACAGGTTTCTTTCAATTGGTTCAGTTTTTTATTATTTGGATCAGAAATACAAATTTTCGTTTTTTCATAAATTCAAAAACAAGTATATTAAAGCATATTTCATCGCAATAAAAGAAAAATAAGTGAGATCAATGAAAATAAAAAAAAATTTCCGATAAATATAAAAAAATGTTTAGAAAAAACATGGCCTTTTTATAATTTTCAATTTAAATCTGAAAATTTTTTATTATCAGAAATTATAATCGAAATAGCGAATTTCCTATTAACTGTGGGTGATAAAAAATTAAACGATTTTTTGGAAATTTTTGCTAATTTGAAGCAAATTTTATATTTCGATCATCATAACTTGATTTTTTATTAGTATTATATGGGTTTTTGATTATTTTTTTGTTTTTTTAAATAAGAACTAAGAGAAAATTTAAAAAAAATAAATGAACGGTTGTGGGAACCCATTTGCATCACTTATCCTCAGACTTTTACCCCTAAAAAATTCCTCTCTGGCTACGAGGTCTCATTAGTGAAACAATGCGAATAAAAGGTTTCAGCGGGTAAATTCATTCTTCTCAAACGAATTTCGTCGAAAAAGTCACCAGTATTCAAACGAGAATAAAGAAATTTGAACTAATTAAAAATTAAAAAATTCAGGAGGAAATTACAAACTGGACTCATTTTCACGAAAAATTAAATTCTTCTGATATACGACATTCAAAATACGAAAATTTTCCAAAAATTTTCTAAATATTTTTTAAATAAATTATTCTAACGAATTTTAATTAGATTTTGGAGAAATTTCTTTTTAATAGCTAAAAAAAATGCTATTAATTTGCAAAATTTTCATATTTCCCACTTAAATTTTAAGAAAAAACTTAAATTTTCATTTTCAATTGCCTTTTCAACGTTGAAGCACAACAGGAAAATTGACAAGTTCCTTGTAAAACAAAAAAAATTTTGCGAAATATTGTTTCAAATGATTTTTGCTCGCTTCTAGTTCGTAAATCATTAAATTGATGCAATAAAACAAATTTTTTGCCATTTAATAAATGAGAATTGCTAAATTTTTCAGTCCATTGATGATAATGAAGGGAAAACAGCTGATTGTGCACCATAAGAATATTCCAGGGATCGAATGCGAGTCATACATGTGCAGTGGCCATCATCACTTTCATCACTATAATCAGCTGGAAACCATGAATAGATGCCATAAGCTAAAAAAAGAATATTTCGCTACAGCCGAATAAATCCAATTTTTTCTATTTTTATTTTTATATAAATTATTTTTTTGCAAGTAAATTTATAAAGAATCGCACTGCTTTTTTTAATACATGCAACTGAAACCAAAGTTTTCAAAATTCATGGATGAAGACTATCCAAATTACAAAACAACTTACCAGTGCAGTATTGTTGACACTCTTCAGGTTTCCTCAAACGAACATTAGCCGCAGCGCCACCTTCGATTTTAATGTTTTTTAAAAATGCTGCTTGTCCTAAAATTTTAAGTAATTTTATAATTTTATACATTTTAAGCTAAAAAAATTATGGAAAACTGCAAAAAATAATTCAAAAATAAATTTTCCATTATTCATTATTCATTTTTGGTCGACAAATTTTTCGGAATAAATGATAATCGAATCGTAGCAAATCCATTGGTCGTTGATTTATTAATTAATTGCTTTACTAACTGATCGTAGACAAAACATTTAATTTGATTGCCTAATCTTGTAAATCTATTTGTTGATCAAAGATGAGAAAAAATTCATTTTATAATAGTAAACAAGTCTTCTCGTTTTCTTTCTGTATGCGTAAAGCATTTATTTTTAGCAAAAAATTATTAATCGTATAGGAAAAAATAAAAAAAATATGATTTTTCCATGAAAATTTTCATTAAAAAATGTTTTTCATTGGACTGCAAAAATTTTTTAACAGTTGGTTGATTTAACTGTTATTTGTTTCAGTTGTTTCATTCTTTAGAATTTTCGCTAAAAAAAATTTTTTTTCATTATTATTTTTGATTATTAAATGAATTGTTCGGATATTTTCCTATTTAAACAAATAATTCGAAACTATTACACTAGTAAAATAAAATGAAATAATGAAAATGAGTTGGATTTGCGAAAAAGTAAAATATTTTAAAAACAATTCACCAGAATTGATATTTGCCTTAAGGCCGCTTATAGCATGGTGGTTGACTTCGGAGTAAGAAAGAGTCGATTTCATAAAGCATCGTTTCAACGAATTGTTGTATGTATATCCAATGCAGCAACTGTCTTTCGCACAAGCTATACAACATAGCTAAAATCTCAGCAAATTCGTTATTTTAGAATCTAAAATTGTACTATATTCATCCATATTCTAAATTATTGCATTGCTAAACAATATTAGTGGAATAAAATTAATTACAGTGGAAACTCTTCTAATTGAACTAATTCGATGGAAAAGGATTTTAAATATCTCATAAAAAAATAAATATATTATTAGATGCCTATAAATATAATTATTTACTGAATATAAGTGCAGAAATTTAAAAAAAAGGTAATTGGAATGACTCTACTAAGGTGTTGCTGTTTATTCGAGATGAGTGGATCAAACCTATTCAGTAACCCTATTCAAGTAAGGAAGCTTTATGCGGCCACCCTCTTCACGAAGGTGAATTTTTACGACTTGGAACCACCAGCATTATTCGATTAATTTGAAAAAAGGAAGGGTGAACCTTTATGTCTGTGGAATTGAATTCGTCATATGTTCCTCCACTGATAGCGATATTTGGTAAATAAAAACAATGAGATTCTTAAAAAACAATAAATAAACCATGTGTTATTTCATTTCATTTCGTATTTTTTGCATATTTTCTCTTTTAAGCAAAAAATTGAGAATAATTATTGGAAAATAAATTTCTTCCTAATTTTTTAAAATTTCGATTAATGCAACGATCATAACCGAAAAAAAAATTAATTAATGATATAAAGATTATAAGAATTAATTAATTATAAAGATTTTAAAATACGATTTATAACACTTCGAGAAGAAGGAATATGGAAAGGTTTTGAGAAGTTGATAACTATGGTCTGAAAGAAGAACTGGAACCAGAAAAGACTGGAAAATGAAGATCAAAGAAGTCGCAGTGGTGAACTGGAATTCAGGACTGTGGCCTAATTGTCTCTAACGAATCTCAGAAATCTCTGTCCAGAAGAGTGTAGATACTCCGCAAAACTTTCTAATTCTCAGACCTTTATCAGAAACCCTTAGGTCGAGTTTTTTTCCTTCGATATATCTAAATATTCAGCAATTCGAAATAATTTGATTTTGTTGCAGTACTTATATATAAATCAGTAATGAGCTATTTTATTCCATTATATTTCATTATGGATGTAAACAATTCGATGATGGATATTCGTAAAATCATCGTTAAATTCCGATTACTATAATAGTTAATATAAAAATATGCCTTCTAATGAGATTAGTTCCTTGAGAAAGCACTAATTAATATTTGAATGAATGAATGAATGAACGAATTACTTAAAGCTTCTGGATATCCGTAAATTTTTATTGGACTACTCGACTAGTGGTTTGTGGTCTTCCTCAAGAGAGTATATTTAAAAATTGAATTTTCTGTAGGAAATGAAGAATTGGTAGAGAATTTAAAAATCTAATTTTTTAAATTACACTTATCCTGCGTTTTCAATAATTTTATTATTTCATTTTTGGTTTTCTCTTCGATAAAATTCTCTTTGTTAACCTCATATTGAGCACAACATAAAAAATCACAAAGTTTTTTAATTATATAAACAAATAAAATAAAAATATTGAAATAAAAAGTTATTTATAACTTACTGATTGACGATGTGAAAATGATAAATGTAAAAAGAAGAGAAGTTAATAACAAATATGTCATTTCTCCTGTTATTTTATATGGATTAAATAAAATATAGAACTGATAAATTTCACGAAGTTTATGGATAATTGATAATCACTCGCATATTGTATGTTGGATAAATATGAAACGATGATGGTTGGTTGACTACTTCGCGTTCTGAATCATTGTTATAAACTTAAAGAAAACAGGTTCAATTCAATTCAATAACAGAATTTTCAAGGAGTTTAAGAAGTTTAAAATTTTTTTCTGCACTTATTTCTAGCTCCATTGGTTGCATTCGCTGTATTCAGATCTGGCAAATTTTGCCTAGGAACAACTTGGCTATAGAAGAGAAGGTGGCTTGCCAGCAACAAATGGAAATTTTTTTAAACAGAAAGACAGGTTTAGTTCTGCCGGAAGTAGAGCTCTCGCAGTGACGCTTGGGAATGAGAGCGACAACCGGCTGTACCATTCTCCCCCTATCAACTTGGGTCAATGATCATAAGATCTTCTAAGGGTAAAAAAAGTTTATAAACGCCAACAAAATGTACAGAAAATTGCTTTATTTCTAGTTATTGGATATGAATTTTTGATGACAATGTGTTATAAAATTTAATTTATAGTTTCTAACTTATAGTTTTATTATTGTGATAATTATTTTATTAAAACGTAAAAATATGCGACACTAAAGCGGAATAAGTGTGAAAAAATTTGTACTTACACAGTAAAATTTTAATTTTGAATGCTTACGAACTTATACTGTCAAATAATTGAAAAATTAGGCGCATAATTCTAAATTAAATTCTTAAAGATTATTCGAAGATAAAAGCATAGGTCACTCCATTAGAAAAAAAGTAATTATTTATATGTAGGTAAATTGGTTACATTTTTGCATTTTTACCCATGGCCTCAGCCATTTGATAATTATCGTTAACATGCAAGCCAAACTTTTTACAAATATCTTCTAATCGAGAAATAAGCAGCAAAGATGATTGCAAATGACGCGGCTGAGGACTAACCTATATCTTGGCCAACTGATTCCCAGACGATTCAAATTATTTCACCCAGTAATTTGCCACATAACCAGCAACGATATGGGCTATTCGAAGAATAAAATGAAATATGATATTGCGAATTTGGATGAATGGATGAATAATTTCTAAAATAAAATTTTTGAAATTTCCATTTAATTAATAGAAAATTTTAAAAAAAGCGTGTTTAATGAATATTTACATACGACGCATATGATACGATCAAATTAACAATGAATTATTTATCAGCGAAGAAGGCCGAGCACTGCTATAATCTTTTAGCCATTGTAAATAAACCTATTTGTTTTACAGGTTAAAACCCTAATAGGCCAAACAACAAATTAAAAGGCTGATAAGTGGCGCTTCTCGATAACGATAAATGTTGTTAATCTAAAAGGCGGAGTCGCATTTTTGAATGAAATTTATGGTTTTTCAAATAGGTTGAAATCAATTTATAATAAAACAAAACTTGTTTTCTTTTTTTTAATTCATTCAATTAATTAATTTCGGAAATTATATAAAAACTATTTTTTAACAGGTTTTAACGAAATTTTGCTTATTTAAACAATAAAGTTCATTTAAAATAAAAATTTTCAGCTTTATGACTCATTTCGTAATGTTTCATGCATTATTAATGATAATTATTACCAATAATTCATCAAATTTCTCATTTCTAAAAAGTTTAGCTGCAGGTTGTCAAATTTCGGCCTCTGACCTAAACCTGATTCTAAAAAAAGCCAGAAGTTGCTGCAGGAGGTCTATCAATTTCCTTACTCTTTGATAAGATTTTCTCATCACACGAATATAGGCATTGAGACAAACCCTAACAAAAATGGACCAACCATTTATTTAAATAAAGCGTATGGCTTTAATTTGATCAGTCCACGTGGCTATAGTTTCTAAAGAATAAAATTAAATAAAAAATAATTGAAAAAGATATATAATTCAGTGATAAGCCATATTAAGATATTTCAAATTGCGATTATATTTGTTTTATAGGTTAAAAACCTAATAGCATACATTTTTAAACCTATAGAATTCATGATGAGAAGCAGTAAAACGATAAGCTAAACGATAATGCTAAAATGATGATTTTTAAAATAGGAGGTATTATAATAATAGATAAAAATATTCCAATATTTATTTATTTAAATACCATCGAATTTCTTGCAAATGGAAGGCTTGTGGCTACCGAGAATCGAGGTTTGAATTCGAATCGAGCAGACGCACTACTTCCAGCAAGAGTAAACGTGTCCAAAAATCCTAGTGATGCTGGTGGCTCATCTGCATTTCCATCGCCAAGTGGGAAGCCTATCATAGCACAAAAGATGTGGGGGGGGGGGAGGGGAATAGAAGATAGTTAAGAAAGGAGAGGTGTATGTTGATCTTACTCGTTGAGATTTGGAGAACGTTGTAGATAGGCCATACGCAAGCTTAGCAAACCTGATTTATTTAATTTTAGTTGAATGTCAAGAAAAATTTATAGAAGTATAAAGTGAAACTGACTGAAATATAATACATATGGTGTAGAGTTAATTAAGTAAACAAATCATTTAGAACATGATATCGTCCAATACGAAATTCAAAAATAAAACTAATTTAAAAACTATCAATTTTATTATCGGAAATCTTTTTTTTTTGAAATATGAAATTTTATTCCTTCAATCGCTTTTCTTCCTTTTCTTCAAAACATTTAAAAACATATACGCAAATAGAAAGAATCTCGCATCTCTTTTGGGTGGCATGAGCCATTCTCAACCTCTACCAGAAGCCTGGGAGATTGAGGGTCCTGCATGGCATCTTAGCTATTTTAAAACTACGCTCTTCTTGATAGACATATATATATATACTATCTAAACTATAATATATATATAGTATATATATATATATACTATCTATCTAATATAATGTGTTTTTAAATAAATTTACAATTGCAAATTTTTTTTCTAGGGCACTTGCCATTTCTGATTAGGCCAGCTTCGCTGGTTTTGTCAGATTTTTGTCAGCGAATCATTTGGCAATAAAAGTGTAAGTGGATTGTCAGTACCACCCGTTTTTGAAGGTTATTCTTGCCGCAAGAAAAATTTTGGCACCCGAAACGATAACAATCCACTGAGCTATTTTATCCTTCGCAAATTTTCAAATTTAAATTTATAACAAAATTATTTGAAATGAATTGTTTAGACGTTTTTTTCAAATTTTTACGCTACCCATGTTTGAAATAAAATTTAACGATCGAATACTCGTTTTTTTGATGCTAAATCTTCGTGTCTTTTTTTCGAATAAAATAAATTTTAAGAAATTTCATTTTATGGCCGTTTAGCATTGAAATATTTTCAATTCAACGAGCAACATTCGACATTCGAATAAACCGAATACATGTTTTTAGAAAAATAAAATAGCCGTAATGCTATGAATTTCTTTCAAAATTTTCATTTGAGATATCATTTTCTCTTATCACTTTTAATCCAAAGTAGCAAATGATAAAAGTGATAAAAAAAGCGAAAAATCTTTCGTCAACTTTTTATTTTTGCAAATTATTCATAAAATGAAAAAAGTAACTTGAAAAATATTTTTTAAGCATGAAATTTTGCAGTATTTTTAGATGAAGAATAATCGAAAAAATAATTGAAAATTTAAACCAAAAATTAATTAATTTAAACCAAAAATTTATATTCTGAATTCCACTAAAAGAATTACATTTAAGCAATGCGTTTATTTATTCATTGAGTAGAAGAATTTCATGACAACCATTGATTACAAAATTTATCAAATTTTACCAATTAAGTTCCATAACATTATAAAATAAAGAACTAATTTAAATTCTGAAAGTGCTGAATAAACTAATTTTTCCTCTTATTTAATTATTTTTGCCATTTGAATGATCTGTAATTCAAACTAAGGCCAAAGAAGCGTTTTTTCAATAAAAATCTTGCCTCATTTATACAAATAATTATGCTAATTTGGATATTTGTAAATATGGATGACCAAGTGGTTGTTGCTTGTTTTCCGAGAAAGGAACTCTGCCCTCCGGCAGGAATTTATCGCTAAAAAATCTAGTGGCATTTATGACCCACTTGTAAATCTATCGTCAAATTAGTGAAAAGGAGAATTAGATAAATGAAATTTATAAATTAAAATGAGGAATTTTGATTATCTACGATGTTTTAATTCAAAAATAAATTTAGCCTATCAATTAGACGAAGAACATAGTGCATATGTAATTGATATCCGTGTAATATTCAAAATAGTAATAATTAGCAAAACAATTATATAATTGGCAAAAAAGGATTTTAAAAAAAATTTCTCTTTTTAAAAATATTCATTTTGGATTTCCTCGAGAACTTTTTAAAAAATTTCTTCACATTTTAAACAGTGCACAATTTCTCTTTATTCTTATTTTGATCTTATCATTTTTCTTTTTTTAAAGTTGTTTACAACTAGATTTATCACTTTTTTTTGTTTTTTCGAAACAAACATGTGACAAACGTTAATCGCGAATTTGCAAATACAATTTCTCGATTTTATTAAAATTTTATTTCGAAAATTTCGGTTCTATTTGGAAAGGAATTTCGTTTTTTTAAAAATTTAATTACTTAAAATTATTTATTTATTTTTTCATGACCATGATACTACATGATCATCAGTATTATCATCATTACCAATGTATTTTCGATTAGACGAAATTGGCTTTGGATTTGAAAAATATCGAACCTGCAAAATATATTCTATCGTGAAACATTTCTTCAAAAAGAAAAAGAAATGCTAGAAAATTGCTAGGAAAAAAATTATGTAAACCTCATACGCATGATGTGGAAAATTAGCATTCCTAATTTCTGTATTAGTATCAGTGATTTGGGTTGTTCGAACATGATATGGAAAATTGGTATTCACTGACGATGGGCACATAAGAACCTGAAAGTGGAATTCTATTTGCATACAGCATATTCAGTTGAAAATTATGTATTTCTAAATTATGTAAATTATGTATTATATATAATTATGTATTTCCAGTATATTTTTGTACGAATATTGAGCGATAAAAAAAAAATTCTTCTGGATGAAAAATTGGCGAAAAAATTAAGTGGAGAAAATATCATGAAAGATATGCGAAACTTTCAAAAAGAGGGTAACAGTGGCAAAAGTGATTATTATTCATTAATGACTGATTAATCAATATGGTGTCCACAAAAAGGGTTAATGTTCCATTAGGAAGTATGCTGCCGTTCTCTGATGGCTAACTTAAAACAAACAGAAATGACAATTTTTAAATTCATCTCGGCTATTCGCAACTCTTGAAAGAATGAGTGGTTGAAAGAGTGAGTTGAAATAAACTGGTGAGATCGGATATAGCAATAATTATGCAATCTGTCGAATGAATGCGAAAAGCAAATAAGGGATTGGCACTCATTCCTTTAAGTGGTACCAAGGTACAGTCTCTTGCCAGGCATTAATAAGCTCAGTTTTCCATAATCGATATCATCAAGAAATAGGTCCATAAAAGCCAACAAATAGTTGTATATCCTTTCATAATTCTACACAATTTATTTGTTACCAAAAGCACTATAAATCCATATGCCATGACGCAATTGTCCACAGCATTAACCATTTCAGTACGAACCCAATTATCCAGCAAAAATTTCGCAATGAATACACTGACTGGATTCATCCAGAACCTGAAATTACGCATTAATTAATTTCATTTAACTTCCTTGAATAATAAATCAAAAAAAAATTATACATTTCACCACATTCAGAATCCCTCGCTGAATACCGAGATACCGAGATATTCAGAATTTTATGTTTAACTGGATAGAATTTAAATAGTAACTTTAAAAACTGGATGGTACCAAGTACTTCAGCCTATATAAATGCGACTAGACCTAATGAATTGAAATTACTAAAACCTCTCTGCAGAAAACTAAACTGAGAAGTCAATACTGGAAGAAATTGTGCCTGTGCCACCGCCGCTTAATTTTAAAAGAAAATTGAACAATATTACTGATAGAGATAGCACTGAACAACTATTGTGTTATAAGGACCAAAATATAAATGGAAATAAAAGTTTTCGTGATACTTTGATGGTTATATTTATCAAAGCCCTATCTAACAATAGTTATTCTCCTATTGTCCTTGTTAATCTGTAATATAAATTCAAACCGTTTACAGTTATAATTTCATTTCAGAAAGAAACATTTGATCCTAAAAATGCTATATATCTATGCGAGATGACGTAACGCGCCATTTTTAAAAGGACGGTAGGTTTCATGCAGTCGTAGCTCTGGGAAAAGATAGGTGCGTACCACAATGTCATGAAAATTGATAGTATAAAGTAAAACATCCTTTTAAGCGGATATTTTGAGACTGTGATGCAGACGCTCGTGCAGTACCATAACCAAGCAATTAAGCGTAATCCAACAAACATATAATTAAGTAGAGACTCTGAACTAGAAATAGTTTTTGCTGCATCGTATGTCTGAAATTATTCCATTCAGCTTTGCTTAATTTCAGTTTCAAGAACAATTTCTAAAAGTGTAATATTTTATTGTTTATCATAGATTTCATCGTCTGTTATCATCGCTATCAATAAACTGTTTACATTGTTAATATTGTTCTTCAATCATTTTTGTTGGTTCCAATGACTATTTGGGGTGAAACCCCTTCTCCAAAAAGTAATTTGGGTACATTTTGAAATCTAAAAAATTTACAACAGGTTTTTTGGTCTTTGACGCACTAATATAAATTTTTTATTATATAAGAAAATTTATTATTTTAAAATATTTTACTCGTAATTGCAAAGTAAATGTCGCAAGATACGCGATAATATAAAGCAGAATCAATGTTATTAATTTTCGAAAGGTTTCCCTTGAAAGGCGTGCTCTTGTAATTGTATATCCTTTCGCTATTAAAAGCAATAATATAAGAAACGAAATGATCGACGTCGCTCTAAAGCAGGCAAATTTATAATAAAGCGGAGTTTTTAAATTATTGTAAACTATTAGATTTAGATTTGTCTCTCTTGATCAGTGAGCAGTTGTCAGTGCGTTTTATTGCTCTCTGGGAAATAATAATAATCCCCCAAATAAACATAAATCCTGCAAATCCCTTATTTTCAATAGTTTTTTTTATTATCTTTTTCAATAATATAAACTTTCTAAATAGATCGAATAGTAAAATAGACTAAAACAAGGTTAATGAAAGTTTATTTAATTATTATTTTTTCTGTAATTTTTTCAAAGAAATATCACAACTGTCATAATTACGAAATTTTTTATTTTTGCTCATTTTGATAAAAGTAAGGAAAATCAAGTTCAGGTGACTATTGGGCATTCATTTGCACTTTAAGTAACTCTATGGCAAAAGGTTCAAACAATACTCAGCACCCACATATTGTGAATGGCACCCCTAGCTTGGTGATACATGCAACAAATATGAAAACTGAGCGCGGAAATCGTAAGTAAGAATAAATAATAAGAATAAATCCTCGTATATAAAATAAAGAAATGCTTTAACTAACCACTAGTATATATACTGTATAGTAAAGAAAATAAAGTATGTATGCATGGAGTGAAGCCCTGGTCTAACTTCATAGAGCACCAAAACACTTATGGATGCAAGGGATCCAAGAACACTTCATTCAGATCTTCCTAATTCTGAAAACTACGCCTGTTTCGAATAAGAACTATGGGTCATCCCAGTGAATGTTTTGTGGAATCGTGATTGTCACATCCGAACTGCTAGATTTGATCGTGTGGAATTACATTTACGGCCTGTTGACCTACGCCAAAGTTTTAACGCAAATTCTTTAAATCTTAGTAATTAGTGTGCATGGACCTAGATAAATTCTATAAAGAACATTCGAACCAGGACTTTTCGGTTAATCACCAAGAAAAAAATTCTGGATAACCGCTCATATCGTATATCCGAAGCTGACAACATCCACTAATCGGATACTGCTTGGGCCGAAATTCTGGGTGAAACTGGCAACGAGCAAAATATAACTACCAAAATCTTTTATCTTAGCACATTTCAAACTGAGATATTGAAGTACTAAAGTAATCAAACGAATAGTTTTAATATCAATGGAGTATCTGGAATGGCCAAAATAGAATGAATACTGGCCTCAGTTAAAATCTCCAAAAACTTAAATTCGCCCTAAAATATGTTACCTAAAAAGTCAGTTGGGTTGGGTTTCTGCCTGACCATGCGGTTCAGCAGATGTTATCTACCGTCAGCTGGCAGTGATCGTTAACCAGTACTGGAAGAATATGGCCGCTCGATTTTATTTTGCGGTAATTAGCTCGAAATGTGGTCAGGTCAGTGAAATGATTCGAGATAAGAATCTGAATTCTTTAAGACTAAAGGTGCTACTATGGCTCGATTTATTAGCTGCAGGTTAGCTGCACCAGCTTTCTGCATTGTGTCTTAACCCTTAACACTTTCTCTCAAACGGAATAGTACCATGGAGCCTGTAGAAAAAAAAGATTTTAGAGAATAATAAATTACAAATAAACTGCAAAATGAAGAGATACATGTTAAAGAAAATTTTAAAAAAAACTTAAAAGGAGAAAATTTAAATTGTTTACATAATTTTTTCGTAGTCGTACGACGTATTTTTTCACAGCTTCCAGTTGCATATTCTCTTCCGCACCACCCACCCCCATTCCCTTTTCCCTGACGAATTGCAATTCTAAGGAGAGGAGCCTCAGAGGATTTGTGAAGGGGTTCGATCTGTCAGGGTAAATATAGCGATGCGAGAAGGAGAATCACGATTTTTAAGACGCCTTTCGCGAGCTAATACTCGCAAATTATTATGCAAATGATAGATGCGAATTTATATTTGTGAGAAAGCCTGTTGCCTGTTGAGGCTGGAAAAATATTACTAATATGAGATAATACGGAATTTTTTGTGCATATTACTTAAAAATGGCTGAGATTTGCAATGGTAAAAAGAAATTTTCGAAACAAAACCTGCAAACTTGTGCGATCAGTTTTAAAATTGGCCATCCAATACCGTTCGTTGCATAACGAATATTTGTTGCAAACATTAATAATAAATTAATTATTTCAAAAATTATGCATTGTATATATAATTTAAATGTTTGATGAAATAAATTTCTGCTTCTCAATGTACCTAAATGAATATTTAAAAAACTTGAATGAATGCAGAATTTCGGTTGGTTTTGCATTTTGCAGGTAATGTTGGACAATAATGTTGAGCAAATAAGACTGGAATAATTCTCGGTGGAAATTATTTAAGAATTTATAAGCGTGGAGTTATTTCTTTTATTTTGCTGTGTACATAAGTTTTCAGCGCTAATTTTATTCTAAGCGAATTGCCACGAAAAGCGATTTAAATTGCTGCTTTTCATTCATGTTTGTTTAACGCTGGATTTCACTGTGTAAAATTATAAATGGATTTCTTAACGAAGATGGAAACTTTTTAATAGGAGATTGAAGATTGTCGCTGAAGACGAGAAGCGAGTTTACTATGGCAATCCTAAGAGGAGAAAATCATAAGTTGGTCAACCAGGAACACCAATGGAGAAATCATTTTTGTCTATTCTGTATATGGTGAAAAAATAAAACCTGGTTTTAATTAATGTCTAAATTTTACTTTTTAATTTAATTAATCAATAAACGCTGGGAAAAACTTACAAGCAATAATGATCGCGACAATCAGAATGACCAAATTTATTAACAAAAATAGTAAATCGACTGGAAGAACATCTGCAAATAAATCTGATAACGTAGAATTTTTCCAGTTCTTCGATCAATTTCCATATAAATTTATCAATTACGATGTAATTTAATTATTACTTATATTATATTTTTGACTATGCACTGGTAAAATAACAATACTGTAAAGACTAACAGAATTCATCAGCAGAAAAGTGTCCGAACCAAAATTCATTTGGGTCACCATTGGTCATTAACAGATCATATTCGATATAGAGACCCTTTGTCGAGTTACAATTTGCCAATGCCAAAAACCACCACATTGCTCTTTGAGAACTTAAATTGTTATAACTGTTAATATTTTTCTTAAAAAAATTATTCTGAGGTCACTGCTGAAACCAAATGTTCTACGGAGTTAGGCTTGGACTTTAAGGTTCCAAGTTAAAACTCAAATTTTTATAAAAAATTTGAAAGATTAAAAATCTCATAAAAAGATATACGAAAATTTTAAAAAGAAAGCTACAACCTCAAAAGCATTGTGAAATATTTTGGCTAATTTTATCAAATTTTAATTATGAAATATTTCTGCTAACATAAATTTCCTGTTTCCCTCGCATCGATACCATTTTTCTTCATTTTTCGTATAAATTGCACATTCATTATTTTCGTTTTTATTAGTTAATATGATTTTCTGATTATTATTCGGATCAAGTATAGAAATCTTTTCACTACAAGTCTAAATTTTTCATTTTCACAATGAGCCTCCTTTTTTTAAGCAGAATTTATTGCAATTTTGACGATTTTTGCTTATAAAATATAATTCAAATATTTATAGAAGTGACGAGAAAACCTTAATTTTTTATTTTACTAACCATTTACAACACAACTTACCAGATTTTTATCATAAACAGATGACCATTGTGTATTTGTATCGTAGTATATATACATACTTTGAACCTCATAGTCCTAGAAAAAATGCTTGTTGCATAAAAAACAAGTAATTTATTGTATAGGCCAAGGCAGAAAAAAGCGGCACGGACAGATTCCTATTATTTATTGACAAGAATAGACCTATCATCAAAACTGAATTGCTGGTGATTGCTGGAAAACCACATGTGCAGATATTTTAATTTAAGAAATCTGTAGCTGGTAAAAAAACTTTTGCAGAAGTTTGTTTATTAAATTAAGTTACCTTTGGATATTGGAGTAAATACTGAAGATTTCCATTTTCAGATATGAAACAAAATCGATCTAAATAATGCCAATCCTAAAATTTATTCGCTTCTTTTAATAATTGAAAAGCGCTGAATATTTTACGACAGATTTTAATTACCATTAAAATATGAAATATTTAATTTTGGTTATTTGATAAATAAAATGTATTGGCGCTAACAAAACTTTTATTGATATTTATTTTATTTAATTTGCAGATTTATAGATTTTCCTGGAAATATTTATGGAAACATATGCGATAAAACGAGTAAATTGTAAAAGGAGGAATCGTTGATGAGGAAAAGAATTTTTATGGAAAATATTTATGGATAATATAAAATGCACTTAGCTCACCTTATTTGTATATAGAACGCCATAACTTCTTTTGGATTCGGTCTTACCAAACATTTCATGGACAACAATAAATAACAATATAAATGAAGAAATCTCGGAGAATTTTCGTTTCCAATGAAATAGCATAAAAAGTAAAGAAATGTTCATTTTCGTACTTATCGAAATATTTTACTGGATTATTCATTTTTTCACTTCATTTCAGGATCTTTACCAATGTTTTTTGCATCACTGAACAGTTACAAATTCATATAAATTCTAAAAAATTTCTCATATTCTAGTGAAAATCAAGCAAGAATAGTTTATAGGAATTTAGAATTTAAACATAATATGATAAATTAAAATATGAGAAATGGTTATTGTCTATATTATCGGTAAGATTTAGAAAAGATAAAAGAGAAGTGGATTGCTGCTAAAGCTTGGATTTATAAAGACGGCTAGAAATTGAATTACAACAATGATCCATTTAGAAATGCTAATATGTCTGTATCAGAATGTTGTCAAGGTAACTCATTCTCACAAACCAGCTTTTTAACAACATTTAATTCTATTCTTCCAAAAAAACATCCACATTGTACAACAAGAAATAATAAGAAATTAAAAATTAACGGAAACTTATAATTTAATTTTATAGTTTAAACTTTAATTTAAACTTTATAATTTTCAGAAAAAAATTGTATTTAAAGTTAAATGCAAATAAAAATTCCATTTGACGCCTTAATTTTAATTCGTTACAATAAATCCAGTAATTTGTTTCATTAAAATTGGTGAAAAATCCAAAACATCTAAAATTTAAAAAGAAAAATTTAGATTTTTTAAATTTCATTTCGTTTTTGTTTTAATAAAAAAAGTTTTTTATAAAAAAGTTTTTTAGAAATAATAGGAATTTTCTGATTTGGTGGCAATTTCTCAAATGGAGTTCCATTTGATTAATCATAAGCACTTCCGTGTGATGCTGGCCACTCACTCTTGTATTTCTATCGCCAAGGGACTCTCTGGCATACTTGTCCAATGCGGCAAGCCAGCGGAGCAAGTAACCAGTAATGGTGAAAGCTCTTTAAAAAAAATCATCAGCACCTAAGGCGTCTTTTTCATTCGTTTACACAGTGAAATTATCGCTTAAATTTCTAACAATTAATTGTTTTCCTTAACCACTTTTATAAGTTATTCCTTATAAATTATTAGATAATCTGAAAACTTTTGCAATACATGAGAAAGAGCGTCGTTGATAAGCACAATTCGTTTGTTCCTATCTCAAAATCACAATATAAGCGAAGCGATATTCATATGAAAGCACTTATGGTATTTCATTCATATTTCAGATTTAATCAATTATCACGAATGAATTGTTATTTAAATGGAAGCGCAATGAATTTTATATTTTTTTTGATAAGTCTGAAATAATTTAAAGCATAACTCAAGTTTGATATCTTTATTATATTCTTCATTACTGTAGTAAAATGGTCTTTAAAGACTCTTCGTGACTCTTTTTTTAGTGATAATTTCACTTATCTTCCACTGAATTCATCGAAAGTGGCGACCATTAGGCGACAATGGCGACAATTAGCAATTTTCTTTCGTTTCAAAAAGGAAACAAAAGCAAAACATTTGCACTACCTATTCCTTTAGAAAAAAAGTAATTGATTAAACGAAAAAAAAACCATTTTTATTTGTTATTTATGTATTATTTTAAAATTTCAGGTCTATTGATGGATATTCAATTAACTTGTCGCTTTCTATATTCAATGATAAGCCCGTTGTTAGTGAATTTCAAATTGCTCGGCAACATCTCATTCTACTTATTTGAGCAACAACAATGCTATTTCTTAATAATATTGCTATTATTATCATTTTCCTACATTTTCATATTTCATTTACAATATTTCATAATTGGAGATAATTAGAAAAGATATAACAAAAAGTTCTATAAATTGAGTAGATTCAATTAATTTATTTCGTGGCTCGCTTAATTAATTAAAATATTAAAATATTATAAATGAAGAATTTGCATGATTGCATCAATATTATAATAATACAGTATTAAAGAATTTTAATCAAAAAGGCATTTTAGCTTATCTCTCTTACTCCCCCCCCCCCCCCCCTCCCCTCGATAGAAATTTCAAAACCAATATTCAACCAAAATCCTAAAGTTTAAAAATTTGTAACCAATAATACTGATCGGTAATATTGGTTTTTCTTGAATTTTTTGGAAATCAAAATTTGTATGAAAATTAACTGAAATATGTGTAAGATGATGAGTAAATTATTAGTCGTAGAGAAGGCCATAAATAAATAAACTTAAATATGTAATCTTACCCATGAATGAATGAAATTAATAAGCCAACAATCAAGTGCAACTACAGATTTGATCTATAGGTTATTTCATTTTTATTCGTATTTTTTAAATATACGTTGCAAACCTATTATTCTTCAAAATTCCGAGTGAGGCTGGAGTCTCACTTTTATTTCAGTCTCCAAGCGACTCCCTGGCATACTGTCTAATCCGACAAGCCAACAGAGTAAGTCTAATGGTGAGAAATGGTGAAGATTCTTTAAAAAAGGTAATTTATGTGCTGTTTTCGAACCTTAAACTTATCTATTGGAAATGAAAATAAATAACGGATCATAAATTTAATTCACTCTCGTCCTCATTTAATTGATGCAGTGGCAAATTTCATTGGAAGCAATTTTCAAAACCTGTTTCTCATTACTCATTTAGGTCATTATCAAAGAGCTAATCAAACTAACGCCTCATTCTTCAAATATTCTATATTTTTAAGCCATAATAAGTAATAAGTAAGAAATGATAAGAAATTATCATCATTTATAGTTGTAATTAAGGCTTAACCAGGCTTAAAAATAAAAGTTTATGAATGAATGTGTTATCCAACGCATTAAAAGAAATTGGTTCGATAAAATTCAGCCTCCTGGAAATATTCGAAGAATGATCTTGAATGAGTATTTAAATGAACCAAATCGTTTCTTCATCTGATTTTTGTTAAATTCTTATCGTGAAGTAGTACTGAAGATAATCATCTCAAGAAATTCATTAATAACGATATAAACGGCTCTAAAATTGGAGACAAATGCGGTCAGATCATTCGATGATCAATCCCTTCCTTCCATCTTCGTTGAAAATATTTTAATAAGTTTCGTATTTCTCACTTAAACTTTGTAAAAATTTGTGTTGTAAGAGGAAATTCTATTCTTTTTTATTATTTTATTTAGTTATATTTTGAAATACCGTGGATGTACGGAATATCGATTGGAGATTAAACAATCTATGAAAGAACCAACCAACCTATAACCCTATGGCATGGCAGCTTTTCCGATTGTTATTAGTAGAGTCGTTACTTCGATTAACGTTAAGCATGAACTCGTTTCGAGCACCTTGGTAGAAATTTTCTTACTCTTAGAGATGAAATGAATTCCAGGCCGTGCTGGATGGTCCACTTCTTAGGTTTCTATCCCCAAATGATAATTTTGTCCTAGTGATTAATGGAGATCAACAAACCAGAAATGATAAGTACTGTTATATGATCAATTTATGTAAAAGAATCAAAGAATAGATCATATTCGAGTTTTTCTTCACCATTTTCAGTAATCTCTGCTTATTCATGCGCACTTTGGCAAATGTAAGTCATGAATTAAAATCGAAAATATAGTCGTGAAATAATTTTAAAAAAGGGGGAGGTATTAATGAATGGGCAACGTTTGAGTGCGTTTGACCTGTTTTCCAAAATCTTTCGCTCTTCTTTACCTTTAAAACAGTTCCGTTCCGTTCCAATTGTGACTTTCAATAAAGCCTTGCAAAATATATAACCTTTATCTTTGGTGAACATCCTTTCTCAATTTTGATTTATTTACAAAATTTGCATTTCATTAATATGATACCTCCTTTCTTCACTTAATTGGTCTTGTGAATATTTACAGCGACAATTCTTCTTCTTCTTCTAAATTATTATTGCCTGCACTATTACTGGTTGACTATAAGCATAAGACATTTCCAAACCACGGGATCCGATGCCATATCTGACAGTCACTCCTTTTTCCACTGCATAAGCCTGTATTTATTTCGATAAGCACTAAAATTTTTTATCTCAATTGAATTGAATTGATGAATGAGTATATTTGAATTTATTTCGATGAAAATGCAAATTTCTGGTACTTGATTTGCTTTCTTTTACAAAAGTTTTTTTTCTTCTAGTAAAATTTTCCAAAACATAATAATGAAAAAGAGTTATTTTTTCAGCTTATACTTTCATCCTCATTTTGTTTTATTGTAATCCATCGGCTATTTATAGTAATTCCACATTGCTGAAAAAAAAATAATTATTTTTGTTTTTAAAAGTAAAGCTTACGAACTAGAATTCTAGAAAGCTAAGTTTTAAATTTCCTGGAAATCTTTTTAGATTCCTCTTATCATTTCTGGTTTGCACATCTCCACTAACCACTGCGATAAAATACTTTCGCTAGCATATCATTTGGGAATAGAAATCTAATAGTGGACCTCCCAGCACAACCTGGATTTCGCTTGACATCTAAAAATAAGATAATTTTTGTTAAGGTGCACGAATCGAGTTCATATGCTTGATGTTAATCGACTCGACTAATAATAATTGGAACAGGCACCTTTTTTACTTTTTAAATATTTGTAATAATTTTCTTAAACATAGATAATAAGAATTTACTAAAACCAATTTTTGCATTTTAATTTTCTGGAAATCTTTTGCAATTCTTTTTTTTTATAGCCTTTTTAGAAAAATTATTAGAATTGTTCATTTCATGAAATCTAATTCTTATTCTGAAGCCATAAAAGTATTAACGATATGTGGCGGCGAAATACGCATCACGTAATACATTATTTTATAATTTTTCAAAAATTTCTTCGTTTTCAATTTTTGCTTCTAATTTTTAAAATTCTCATAAAAAGTTTTTTATATTTATTTATTGAATATTGTTTTATTTAATTGAATAGTTGGGGTACACAATAGTGGAAAATTTTTCCAAATTATTCTATAATAATTTTTTAATGAAAATCAATAAATTGCTCATTTAACATTTAAATTTTAATGCAAAATTCGCAAAAATTTCACAAAGAATAAAAAATTAAATTTCCAAATGAATAAGCATTTTGTCTTACAAATATGGATTTAGAAGTTTTTGAAAATTTCTGGTAAAATTTGACCTATATTTTAAATTAAAATTAGTGTATTAGAGCAGCGATTTTTCGTTCATAGCACAATCATCAATTGATCGTAAATCGCGATAAATCAGCCATTAAAAATGGAATGAATAGTGATATAGTTCTCAGAATTCAGAACTTTTTTGCTAATCAAGCAGATAATGAAAAAACTTATCTAATTTTTTCCAGTGAATTATTTATTGTTCATCATATTCATCACTGTTAACATAATTTACCTAAGCGGATTTACATAATAAATAATTGGTAATAGTAAGTGAAATAACTGGATTTAAATGGAATAAAAACATCCATGGTCAGAAGCTAAATCTAGAAGTGAGCATTGGGTCGAGCTAGGATTTAAGTTAGGATCCCTTTCTGCCTTAGAAACAATATCGGGACTGTTTATCCTAAGATTCAGCAAGGTTCAAGGTTGTAGAATAACAACACCAACATCCAACCATATCCAACCATAATGTCTATTTAAACGCCTAAATCAGTTTCAGTTGATTTCAGTTAAACAGAGAGTTTTCATCCGACGACTGTATCGACATCATATTATTTACTCCTATATTTAAAATGGATTAACAAGAAAAAACCTAATAGGGAAAGAGAAACTGAGGACTGCTTATTGCTATTTCTGATTGCATTCGGCGTATTAATGAGAAATTAAATCAAATTATTGAATAATGGCTTCAAACCCAACATATGTGCATCTCGAGATGCGCGATTCGACATTTATCTTTTTATAAATTTTGATTTTTTGCCAGAAAGTTGGGCATAGATTCCCATCATCACCTGGATTTTTTTATTGCTACCAAGTCAAATTACGAGGTTTTGGAATGGAAAATAAATAGGAATTGTATAAATTTGGTAAAATAGTTTCAATTTTGCAATTTTAATTAATTTAATTAATTTTTAATTAAAATTGATTTACTTTCTAATTCTTGATTTTATTTTTTCATAATTTAAAATATTGCCAAATCCCTTTTTTATAAAAAATAATCAACAACGGCGAAATTTGCCGTGATTTTTAATATAATTCTTCCGTCTAACTCTTTTAATTCAGTTCCGTTTTAATTGATGATTTGTTTGCATTCGTCGAAATGTATGCATTAACAACCGTAGCAAATTTGTGAACATTCATATGGATGGATGGGCAAAGAAGTTGCAAAACATAGCATGTATTCCATTATACTCCTTTTTTGCAGTTAAATGGGCCATTCTTCGATAGAACCGAAAATTAGGCGCATTTTCCAGTGGTATGGTAATTTTGCCTATCGGTGGCGTTGGCTGCTATTTATCGTCCCTCTCTTAATCACTCCTTTATTCACGATTGGCTTTATTAGACTCAACACTTTAAAGATAGATGACCCAACATACGTATTTACACCTCGCGATGCACGGTTTGTCGACATTTATATTTTTATAAATCTTGTTGATTTTCATAAATCCCGATAACTGAAAAAAACTTCATATCTTTGTGTTTAATCGTCTTTCTAGTTGTTTCTTTGCTCTGATGCGAAGGTTCAATAAAAATGGAACTGGGAGTGGAATGGATAAATAAATTTATCTACAAGAAAGATGCAAAATTTAAAGATTGCTATTTATCTTAGAATTGCATCCGTTATTAAATGATAAATTTTTATGATTTATTTCATTAATGGTTAGATTCACATTTAGCTGGCGGTATGAACTGAAAACATTTTCGACTTTGTGGCCTCTAAATGATAACAAATTTTTGCCCGGAAAATCATTCGAGATTAAACGTATTATTGATATTCTAATACGTGCTGCCGATCACGGAGATATACTTCGAACAGACATTCTAGAAGAAATTGAAGAATTAAATAAATGGATTATGCTCAACATAACGATACCTAGTGCAAAGGAAGATATCATACTTTCATATCAAGTAAGGCTAAAATTAAAAATTACTTGGATCTAAAATTATTATTTTATTCATTCATTTTTTTTTCAGGATCTTTGTTTAAATTACGATTGGATTTGTGGTGCAAACGAACATATATTAATGCTAAAGGATAGAATCAAACTAGGGAAATTGATTGATTTAAGCTTTCCTAAAGGTGGCAACAAGGTGATTTACGACTTTTTAAGTTGATATATAAAGAAATAAAATTGAATTTCTAAATTTTAATTTTTTTGTTGTAATTTTGCATATATTAGGACACACCTATTTATTTGGGAACTGTACTTGGCGATATAACACTTGAGCCAAAGAATAGCACATTAAAAAATGTTGGCATAACTCGGCTATCGTATTTCCTGAAACAAGAACCAATTTCTGCTCTTCAGTATTCGTCGCAATTTGCCTATGCAGTTGAAAAATTTTTGAATAATTATAAAAGTAATAAACTAATCATAACGTTCGCTCATAGTCATTCACTTGAGGTTATTTTTAAAATTGTTCGATTTTTTACAAAAATTAAAATTTTCAAAACATTAAAATACTTTACGATTGCGGAATTTTTATCGCATCATTTAACAATTTTTTAAATGCTTTTCTTTTGTATAAAATAACCCAAATAACCCAAAAGTTGTTGGAAAATCTTTGCGAAAATTTAAAAAAAACTAAATCGTTTCATTCAGGATGGATTAGAACAAAATGCGAAACATTTTACGCCGAATTTCATATTCAGTTTTGTCATTCTATCTTTTTATGCAATTATTTTTTCTTTTGTACTGAGAAAGAACACTAAAAATCAAGGAATTGATTGGATTCGTAGTAAACCTTATGTTGCATGCGCAGGTGATTTAGTTTTCGATCATTAATTTACTCAGACTTGGCCAAAAAAAGAAATGTGGCCAAATGAGGCCAAAACAACAGTTAAATTGTTTAAAACAACGATATTTAGTATATTTTTCACATAAATCATTGTTCAAGTCAGCTTCAGCGTATTTTTAGGCCTTTTCACAACAGTACTTGCAGTGTGCAGTGGTTTTGGTATGATGCTTCTCTTAGGAGTCCCTTACAATGTTATTAACACCATTATCCCTTTTTTATTAATAGGTTACTTTTTCTAGTTATTTTTTTCTAAAAAATAACAACAATAATAAATAGCTTATCAAAATACGAGCAATATTCGTAATAGTAATCAATTTGGCTTTAACCCAAAAATGTTGGATTTTATGGAAGCAATGGGTGGGGGAAATCGCGATATGAGACAAAACGAAATGCCTTAGAATGTTTTGCGTGTACTGCAAATAGCATCCGAAAAATGAAAAATGCTTATGGCATTCAGTTAACTTATGATAGCATTTCTTAGCCATTGGCATTGACGATATGTTTATTATGAATGCATGTTGGAATCAAACAGCACAATCACGTTCAGTTGCTGAAAGGTAATTATCATAAGTTCGTCCACTGAGCCTAAGTCTATAATTGTCATAAGTTCGTCCACTGAGCCTAAGTCTATGTTCAACGACAGCGAAGTGTGGATATAGCGAGACAGATCGGTCGTTTCACGTTAACGAGTCAACTTTTCTATGAATTTTCACCTTTTAGCTTCTTTTCTTAATCGCTTAATCGCTTAATTGTCCACTTTTACATTCATGATTGAAGATTATATATGTTAAACAGTAATTATTCATGCAGAATGTCGGATATGATGGCCCATGCGGGTGTCGCTATATCGATAACAAATATTACTGATATATTATCATTTGCAATCGGATGCATTAGTGAACTTCCCGGTATACAATTCTTCTGTAGCTATGCTTGTATTTCAATCGCTTTCTGCTATTTATATCAGGTAATTTTAAATTGTTAAATATTTCGTAAATTTCGGTCATAAAAGCCCAAATTTATTTAAATTTCATAAAAATGATAAAAATAAATTATTTGCATTAAATCAAAGGAAACAAAACACAAAACTAAAGACAAAATATTATTCAATTTTCCAAGGAATTGTTGCAGTTGACATTCTTTACTGCTTTCATGGCGATTATGGGCAATTTGGAAGAACGAAAACGTCACTGTCTATTTTTCTATAGGTTGACTAATGATATGAAGAAAACTTCAAAAGCTACAATAGATGCAGAAATTTCGAAGTGCAGAAATGGAAATCAAGAGCAAATCAATCATTCACAACGTGTTAAATCTTTAAGGTAAAATGAAAATCTCTTAAAATCAAAAATTAAAAAAAATTTTTTTGTTGAATATCGAAGTATTAAATAATGCATATCGGGCAATTGTAAATTGCCAATTTAAAACCATCTTCGTGAGGTCCAATTTTTTTGGTAAGAATTATAGCGGCAGTTCAACAGTTTCTTATATTTCTGAAATCACTGCTGCGAGTGGCAAATCCAAACATCTTGTCCACATATCTCAAAAAGGCAAATTAAATGGAAACAAAAGCCAATCTAAGAAAGGTTGGAAAATTGTGTGCAAAGGAAATAGTTTAAAGGAAAGGACTGAACGCCCATCAAAGAACCGAATAAAACCGCTACAAGGTTAACCCACTTATTTAGTCATTATTGTAGAAATTACTGAAATCAGCTGGTTCATAGGCCTAAGTTCAGCCTGTATATCTGACATCTTTTCAGCTTCAGTTAATTAACTTAATAAGTATAGATTTCGAGAGTATCCAAACTTTTTCAATTTATGTTCTTCGAAAGATGAATCGTGGCTTATGTTGCAGATCATAAAGATTCGGCACAGACAACTGAAGCGAACACTTTTCGATATTTTTTCAGCAATATTTTTGCACCAATTTTGCTCAGATCCGAAGTTAAAGCATTGATTTGTATTTTTTACACTGCTTTTATAGGATTCGCACTAGTAGGATGCTTGAATTTTAAGGTTTCTTATTCTTCTTCTTGCAATTATTCTTTATGCGATTTTGATTGATTTTATGACCTAAAAACCTATAAGAGCAAGAAACGGGAAAAGAAAACTATGCTGAAAAATTGTCAATGAACTTAATTTCTGCTAATTCTGCTAAATTTGGTTTTGATTCAAAATTTTAATGACGAAAGTCGGCGGGTAATACTAGGGACTCACATAAACTTCTATTCCCAAATGGCTTTCTGGCGAAATAGTCTAATCTTAATAACCAGTAAAGTAAAATTAACCAGAAATAGTGAGAGCTATAGAAAAAAATAAGGAAAGACGAAAGTTAGATCAATTTCTTGAACCAAATTTCCAATAACGATTATAATGACGGCATACTTTTTCCAAAAATTTAATATACGAATATTTTTAATAATAATTTATTTTACTAATTAGCGAATTTTAGATAGTTTATAGTATCATGCATTTTCATGCATTTTTTTTAAGAGTCCTCACCATTACTGATTTAACTCGTCCCACTGGCTTGTCGAAATTAGGCAATATGCCAGAGAGTCTCTTGGCGATAGAAATACATGTGAGTCGCCAGTATCACCTGGATTTTTGTACAGGTTCACTCCTGCGGAATCGAAGCCAGCATCGGTTGAGCAACAATCCACTGAATCATTCTATCCCCTCTATTTTTATGCATACCAGTGTACAATTACAGACAAACCATCGGCATTGAGATCAATTCTATTGGGATTTATTGCAGCGAATTTTTTTTAGGAGGGATTGAATCCTGAAAACCTTGTCACAAATGACCATTATATAGCTCATTATTTTCATGAATTAAAAAAATTTTGGGTCATCGGTCAACAACTTAATGTCGCTATAATAAACCCTCCTAATTTAACTAATTCAGTAAATAGGTGAGTTATTTTTATTTTTTATTAAAAAAACAAAAACAACTACAACCGTTTCAATTTAAACTCTGAAAAAACGGTTTTGACTAATTTTAAAATTTCAATAAAATAAGGATTAATCCATATAATTTAACGTTCATTTGGATAAAAAGGATGATTTTTGGAAAATAATTAGAATTGCTATAATATTATTTAGTAAATTTTTTTAGAGATTTAATATTTAATGTTGTCAGTTCGTTTGAAAACACTGAATATACAATAGGACGAGAAGGAACAGTTTTCTTTTTATTAGAATATCTCAATTATTTAGATGAATTAAATGCTGAAACTGAAGACACTTCAAGGTAAAAATAAATTTTAATTTAAAGCTTTGCCAATGAACTAAAACATATAAAATAATATTTTCGTTTAAACCTGATCTGATTAACTGATTAAATCTAAATAATTCACTGATTAACTAAATAATTCTCCGATCAAAAAGAGTGAGGAAAGCTAGCAAACGACTGAGGAATACTCAACTTTCCTAGCAATGAAGATCTAAGAATAATATACGATTTTGATAGAAATGCACTTGGCCTACGGCGCAAAGGAATACTTAGCCTAAGACCAAAGCTAAATCTACTTCAACAAATAGATGACGAGCAAATGAATCGGTAGAATTATAAATGCTTTCTTTGCAGTGCAAATTATAGTAAAATAGAAGAATTTCAAAACATTTGACGATATCGTAATTTTTCATCGATAAATAATTATTTAAATTTATTTTAGAATTTGGGATATAAAACTTAAACGTTGGCTTAAATATACTGGTGGAAGCAATCAGTGGGCAGCGGATATAAAATACAACGAAACGGATGCATCGTTTCAAGCTTTCCGATTTCAAGTTCATTTTTCGTTTCATCATTTTATCTCTTTTAGAAATTCCCTAAGAAAATTAAATCATCAGCAAATTTTTTTTGTGCTTCTTTCGAGATAATACGATTAGTTAATTGGTTTTGTTATTATTTTTTAATATTATTAATTACATGCGAGAAATATTCAGATAACTATGAAAAATATCATCGAACCGAACGATCATAAAATAGCAACGAAATTACTACGAGAAATAGCCGATCGACAACCATTCCATGTTCAAATTTACCATGAAACATTCCCGTTTGCTGATCAATACTTAATAATAGTGCCAGCAACGATTCGAAATATAATTATCTCGATAATTTGCATGGGCATTGTTGCGCTTTTGCTTGTGCCCAATATCTTTTGCTGTAAGTTCTCACTTTCCTAGTATTTTTCATTCATTCATTCGCCCATCATTTTTGTAGTTTAATTTTACGAAATTTTTTCCTCAAAATTGTCTTTTTTCACTATAAAAATAATCACTACGAAGTGTAACGTGCGAATCTTTCATTCTTTTAAAACTTATCGGAAAATTTTAAATTCATTTACCACTTAATTAAAAACCGCCGGCGACATTCTATGAGAAACTTTAGAAACGTTGGAAGGAAATAAAAAAAATTTATAAATGTAATTTTTTATTTGCTTTCGTAAATCGTAAATTTTTGGGTCAGTTTTAATGATTTATTATTCCAATTTGTGATTCGATGTAAGCACTTTGTATTCGTCGCAAAATTAAACTCTAAAACGATGCCACTTTTTTGCTTTCTTTTTTTAGGTATTTTGATAATTTATTCGATAATATCAATAAATATCGGCGTCTTTGGATATATGACATTTTGGAGAGTCAATTTGGACGCTGTTTCAATGATATCGATTATTATGAGCATTGGATTTGCTGTTGATTTATCTGCACATATTACATATGCGTTTGTTACATCAACAGGTAAAACAAATCGTCGTGTAACTCACGCGCTTGAATCGCTCGGATGGCCTATTTTTCAAGTAATTTCTGCTTTTTTCGCAAAAATATCGTTGAGATTTGAGCATATCATGGAGATTTTATCAGAAACTTGGTGCTTACATCGCTAAAGCCAATGGTGCTCACAAATATAATAGGCAAAATGCAATGAGCATGAATTCCATGCAAACACATCGAATGTATTTGAAAAATTATAAAATTTTAGGGTGCCACTTCTACGATTGCTGGTATTACGATTTTATATTTTGTGGATGCCTATATAATTTTAACATTTTTTAAAACAATTTGGTTAACAATGGTTATTGGCCTTACCCATGGTTTACTATTTTTACCCGTCGCTCTGAGTTTCTTTCCAATTAAATGCTTAAATACGCCAGATGATGTTGTATTGTAATAAATTTTCTTGTATTATAAATTAAAACCTTTTTTTCACCGGGAATACCATTAAAGGAAAATCGACTTTATTTCACTACGAAATGGAAAGGGTGCAAAAAACTGATTAAGCAAAAGTCCAAAATGCTTAAATTTCTTCAATAAATATTTATAGTATATGCGAGTATGTAAATATATATAAATATGATATTCCACATTTTTCCGAGATTTTTTTTTAAACGGGATTTAATATTTTAATTATTTTAATGGTTGTGCGATTGCTCTGGTTTATTTATTTTATTTCACTGCAATAAAGTGAAAATTTTCTTTTGATTCTTAAGAAGACTGCCCATTTGTTGTATCTTTAAAAATATCTTTTTTTCCTTACTGATTTATCTGATTTGGAAATTTGGTATTTGGACTTCACTAGGATTTACTTGGGAAAAGGGAAAAAAAACTTAATGTACAAGAGAATCTGTACGATTATAGAGTTTAAATTGATGCTCACCATTATTGATTGAATTGCTTCCACTGGGATCAATGAACCTCTTGAAAATATAAATATAAATAGCGTCCCGAGTACCATTCGGAATCAATTCTTTGTAACAGGCTTACTCCGCAAGGAATAAGGAATCAACCTGCGTGTTCTCTTTTTCGTCCGATCCAATTCTGACAGAAATTTGAAATTTGGTGGTTAAAATTTGTAAAACTGGTAAATATAACAATATTTGCACATTCACAGTTTTTATTCATTTTTCTTGATTTATTTATTTATATATTTTGTGTTTATCTGCTTTCTGCTCTTATTTATGGGTTTCAGTCACGATTAATCGAACTCGATTTATAGATGGATAAATTCGACTAATTTCACGCTTACTGTTGAAATGAATTTATAATTAATCCAAGTTTTTATCTGAAATTTCAACTTTTTTATTATTAACGAAAGTTGTCTAAAAATATTCCAATATTTTCAAATTAATTAATTGTAAATAAATTTATTCATAAATTTATTAAGAAAAAATTTTTTTAAAAAGAATTCTTTAAAAATTGCAATTTCATCTATTTGCTTAATTAAATTAATTTAGAAGATTGTTTATTTTAGAATTATGAAACATGAAAATAATATAAAATATACTTTTTATATACTTTTTATAAAAAATTATAAAAAAGCTCGTTTTATTGTAATAAGATTTACAAGTGCTCGTGCAGTCATTAAAATGAGGCATTAAACAAAGCGGTCAGCCTCTACTTAAATAATGAAAACATCTCTTATGAACCAATTGTTTTCTTTTTTCATTCGTTTATTGTTTTGAATAATAAAAATGGTATAAATTGAAGATTCAAATAAAAATAGAATTATGTAAAATATTTATTAAAAAATTAAAGATTTTATAGATTTTATATAGGAAATGCTTAAATTTAATTCAAATAATATTTAATAAATTCCAAATCAAATCAAATGAGAATAAATTATCAATTAAGTGATTAGCATTCACCATTTTTGATTAGCTAGCGCGACGAATTGTTAATACAATATAAAATTTTATCACTTGGCGACTGAAATACAGATGGTCGCCTACACCACTCGAGCATTTATTGTGAATTAAGTTACTTATATGAAAATAGCAAATAGCAAATTTCATACGTAAATTCGTGAGCGCTACGATTAATTTATTTTTTCACTAAACGTATAAATGTGAGAAAAATAGTTTAATTGTTGGTAAAATGTTTAAAAAATTCTTAAATCCTTTATGTGAATGGGCGCACAAATCCGAACGATTTGGCTTATATTAAATCTTGCTGCGAATAAATTTACGGGCATTAGGAGGAATTGCCTACAGTCGAACTACCAGTCGATCTGGTTTATAGCTTCGAAAGGACTCGTCATGGTCGTTAATATCATTCGGTCGTTTGGTTTTGGTTTTTCTTTTCTTAAATATTACCATCGTAATTTGGTCATGCTAGTTTGATTTAATTAATTAAAATGCATTTAAAGATAACTTGAATAATAAAACTATCGCCAAGCCTTTCGTCTATCTTTGCTTTTCGCTCGTGAACGTTCATGACCGATTTTCATTTTTGCACGCGAACAAGACGTTGCTCGACGAAAATTTCCTGAAATTTCGCCTAAATTGCATAGTCCGATTCGATAGTCTTCTATCAGCTGTTCTAAATTTTATTCCATTAAATAATTTTAAAGGGTTAATGGAATAGGTCAAGCACCATAGCTTCGATTCTTACCTTTTGAAGAGAGCAAACATGTCATTAAAAATGAAGTTCGAGTAGTATTGGCGACCCATCTATACTTCTATCTTCAAGTGATTCTCTGGTGGGGAGCGACCACATTTTAGCATTTAGACATTGCGCTGATCAAAAATTGGGAAATTGTGAAAGTTCTTAGAAAAAGAAGATTTTATACATCAAAATCTAAATGGAAATATTTGCTATTTATTGTTGGTAAAGCATTTTCACATTTCTACTTAAAGGGACTAATCGAAGGACAATAATTTTCTTCAATAATTTATAACGAAAACTTTTATCAATTCCAGGCCGTTGATTCTCCAAATATTGCAATTGTAATTGTAATCGTTCATTGTCAATGTCAATTTCCTTATCACCACTTATCAACAATCCTCGAGGGTATTGTATTTTCCAATTATAAACGGCTAGAAAATAAAAGACTCAATTAATTCATTTAAATAATTCAGTAGCGATTGCATTTATTTTTCCAACAAAATGATTATTCGAGATTCTATCGCAAGATAACGGTCGAAATTCAGCTAATTTTTCGCATTTTATCGTTTTAAATTTCACAATTTTTCTCTTCCCAAATAGAATGCTTTTCGAATTTTCTTTATCAATTTTCTTTTTTTTTAAAAATATTTCGATTTTAAGGGTAATTAAAATGAAATTTTTTCTAAATGAAATGAAAATTTGATTCAATATGCACAGCACTATTTCTCCCAAGCAAGTCAGTCATTCAGTTAATCACCAACTAACTGACCAATCCAGCCATCCATTCTATTCCCAACTTCCTTTTTTCTTATTTCCTTCACTCTTATTGACCATTGATCGTATTTCCTTTATCTCCTTTTTCCTCATTTTAATCTCCTATTTTAGTTTCTTTTATTTTTATTCGTTGTCCGACTATTTATATTTGTATTACTGGTTTTTGCGATAATGGCCGCTAAAAAAAGAAATGTATAAATGTGAAAAGATGCGCCATTATTTCTTTTTAAATAGCAATTTAAAGTTAATATAAAAAATAAATATTGAAAAAAATAATAATTCGAGAAAGAAATAGAGAAAGAAAAATCCCTGAAATTTCTTACAAAAGTTATAGTTGGAAAAAAATATTTTTTTTCGTTTAATTGTATATATATATCGTTTATAAATCAAATTTATTTTGCTCAAAAAATAAAGAAATCATAAAAATTTTTCGAAAAGAAAAGTAAACAAAACTACTGAATTGTAAAGATTTCTATTCAGCGAAAAAAATTAAAAATTTAATACTATTATTTTGAAAAAATAATTTTCACAAAATTTTTATTAGATGAAAAAAAAAGAAAATGAAAATAAAAGAAAAAATAAGGAAGAAGAATTCAGTGTGGTTGGGGATAGAATGGCTCAGTGGGTTGTCGCTCAACTGGGAACACCGATGCTGAGATTCGATTCCCCGCAGGAGCAGACCTGTATAAAAATCCGAGTGATGCTGGCAAGATACTTATCTCATGAGTTTAAGGATTTCGGCCCAAAACTCTATACAGGGACAAACATTTTCATTGAAAAAATTGCTAACATCCTGGGAGAAAGATCGTATTGTATCCACGCTGATAAAATGTTAAAGAGACTTCTCGAGCACCACAATTTTCTCCGTAAACAATTAACGCCAATTTTAATTTTTTTGCTTCATTCATTTCTTTAGTTTCGTAACGATTCCTGTTTAGCAATATTCGTGGATAATGAAATGCTACAATTCGATAAATATATATTTACTTAAGAAATATCGAAAAATTATGAAATTTGCGATCGTGAAAATTCTAATTTATAATTTTATAAATGTGGTTCGCATTTTCTTAAATCCTTCTTTTCTTTAGAATTTTAATAGCACTTGATCAAAAACTTGGGCTAAGTGGTATGCTTAGATTCAAGCATCGCAAGCTCGGCTTTCTCGGTAGCAATAAGCCTCCATTTGACAAAAATCGTGAGTAATGCTGGCGACTCGTCTGTACCGCCGAGTAACCCTCTGGTAAAAATTCTCTAACCTACTAGTTCGATCGAAGCTAATTCAAGCAAAAATAGTTTTTAATGCATATGGCGCGATGTAACATAGATTTAAATTTAATTCATAAGAATTGTAGTTTTCGTTATCTTTACAAATTTTTCTATTCATTTGCTGTTTATAGTAGTTTTGAGTTTATTAACATTTTTTTAAATTTTAGAATTCAAAAACTATTCGAGTTTATAAAAATTAATTTTGATTTTCTGAATTTTCATAACTTTTTAAACAATTGATACAATAATTTTAATAATTATTAATTAATTAATTAAATTTCAAAATTTTTCTGTTTCACTTAGTTTTTTAATTTTTCAAATAATCAAAGATTTTTATCATCGCTTATTTAAAATTGAAAAATTATAGAAATATTTAAAAAATGGAAAAAAGAAAAACTCACATCCAATAATTCTTTCGTTAAAAAATTCTTCATAAGATCGTACATCAAGCATTATCGTTAATTTTTTGTTAAATTTCGTTTCATATAATAAAATTTCTATCTAAAAATAATAAAATTATTATTATTTTAAGTTTTAAAAAATTTTTAAATGGACTTTATAAGATTAAAATTATTTTTTGCAAATTTTTTTTATATAAAACGATTCTCTAAAACGGAATTTTAAATATAAAATTAATGAAAAGGGAAAACGGGAAAAAAAGAATTTCAGCAATAGATTTTTCTAATATTTTTGCCATTTATTTTATTTGACAACTGAATTTAGAAAATTTTTTAAAAAAATTATTTGTAAGTTTGATAGATTAAACGAATAAAAATGAAATAATTTGGCGTTCGTTTGTAAATCCCAAAGCGCGGAATTTTCCAAATTTCATGAAATTCAAAAATCCAAGCAAATCGTTTCATGTGATAAATTCTAAAGTAATCAGTTCGAATTCTTTAATAAATCATTTTTTTGCTCATTTTTAAATGGCTAATCACATCATTTCATTTCGTTTAATACGATTTGCTTCCTCTAACGAATCGGAATTCAATTTTCAATTCCCTAATCGAAAAAATTTTTTTCCAGCTGAAAAACCTCAAAAAATTAATTTTTTTAAATTTTTACTCCAAATTCTAAAAACTATTTTTTATTTTAAATTTACATTTTATTATAAAGAATTTATTTATTAAAATGTTTGACAGATTTGTAATAAAAATAAAAAATTTCAGAGATTTCGGATGTAATAAAATGAGCAAATTAAGTAAAAACTCATCTAAAGATTAGAGAATTTAAGAATTATTTAATCAAATTAAAACGAATACAAATGAATTTCTTCTTCCCGTTAACTTCCTTTAACTTTTCTTTTTTACTTAATTATGGCAAAAATTCTGAAATTCTAAAATTGAAATTAAATAGAAAGAAACAAAACAAACCAATTGATTAATATTTATCGATAAGTAAATATTATCATTTAGCAACGAAAACAATTTTTCAACTTTTATTTTTAATAAATTTTCATCAATTTTAGCGAAATAGTTCATTAAAATATCGACAAAAAATGTTTCTTTATTTGCTTAGTGCGTGTGTTACCTTAGAAACAAATATACAAAACTAAAAATTAATAATAATAATAATAATAATAATAATAATAATAATAAAAGATAATAATAGTAATGCAATCTATTTCAAATTTATACTTAATCCAAATCTTAAGAATTTTATAATAATTAATTAATTAACATAGAAATAAATTAAATTTATTCAATAATTAATTAAAATCAAAAAAAAACATATAGAATGCTTGTTTTCATTTCGAAGTGCCAATGCAGTGCCCGCAAGAGAAAATTTTTATTTCAAAAAATCAGACGCTGTCCCCTTTATTGTATTTCGACCGCCAAACAACTGCCAAAATTTATCTGTTCCGATAAGCCGACGCAGCGAGTGAAACCAGTTACTTACTATTCTTGGAGGTTACGAAATAAGGCGAAATCTTTATTTTGTAAGTTATATGAATAGGTAATTCACTATAGCGTCGCTGCAGTGGAATGAAGCTCCATTCGCTTGGCTATACAGGTGCAGCAGTCCTGGCTGCACCACTACCACTGGGCCTTTTACTTCTGTCGAGTCGGCAGAATTCGACTCCAGTAATCGAGCCGACAGCCTCATTCGGCCAAGGATCACTCGGCTATCCTCTCTCCCCATAGGCTAAACATTTTATAAACAATTATTATAGGGAATATCTGCATTATTTTAATGGAATAATTGTCGGCGTGTGCTAAATTTGCATGCAAACAGGAAACAATCGTCATTGTTCATGCGCCCATAATAATTATATGTAATTAAATAAATAAATAATTAATAAATAAATAATAAATAATTTAATAATTACTATTTGTTATTGTTTGCAGCGGTGATTTTATGCTTAAATTTTATAATTCTTAAAATTTTTTTCAAAAAAGTTAGAAATTTAAAATAAAATAGTAAAAGATGAAAGACTTCTCTCTTTTTTTTATGTATTCGTCATTTTTTTGAAGAAAGACATTTCATTTTTCATTTTTTTTTCAAATTTGAAGAAGACGGAAGTGAAAAAGTTAGAGCTAAGAGTACGAAGTCAACAATTAATTGCACTTGATTCGCTTAAAAGCTTAAAAATTCAGGAAATTGAGTATTCACTGAATAGCCCTTGTAGCCCTAAACTCAACAGCTTAAGCTAACAGCTTTCATCTCAACAAGTCAGCCCAATCTTGCAGCTGTAAGCTTATTCTAATATCAAAGTGAACGGACGACCCGGCAACTCGGCCTGACCCACTCACCTTGACCAACACAACTGAGTCAGAGATAGACGCCAACTTCAGCTACTCGGTTAATGCAATCTGACCCGTTAACTTGACCCACTCAGCAATGCGATCTAACGTATTTGACCTCGAAGTACATCAACGGCAATTCTTCGCAACTCATCAAACAACCGTTTAACATCCCCGCTCTCTCCACTATCGTACTCTCACCGTAAATCTTTGTTTCTTTATTCCTCCAATATTTTTACCTTAGTAATTATCACTGTAATTTTCTCTAATAATTGCATCATTATTATTGATTATCTATTATTTTCTCTAATCGTCCTCTCATGAACTTTTTTAATGAAATTTTGTTGTCTAGCCCACTCTCGGTTTCTCGTGCTCTCTCTTACAATCGAAAATGAATCACATATTTCAGCAAAATTAGCCATACTAGGTTGGATGCTTTTATGAATAAGTCGAAGGGATTTATTGTTAGATGTTAGAGGTACAGTGTGGTGCCGAGGAGGGGAAATAAGGTATGGGAGGGGGAGGATGGCAGGAATGGGGACGATGAGATAAATGGAAGAAGTCAGGGTATCCAGGCTGGAGTGTAAGGATGGATTCGGACTACGGTACTTCACGAGAGATGAAGTGATTACTAGCGTAAGGAAGGGATCGACTGTTTAAGAATCATCATTTCCGCCTTATCGATTGATTTAATTAATCCTTCCATCGTTCAATTCCTTCATTCACCATTCCTTTATTTCCTCCTTTTTATATTCTCTTTCCTTCATTTCATTTCATATTTCCTTCTTTTTTCATTCTTTTTTCCTTTGAATTTAATTGAGATTTTACCAGATTTTTACTTAAATTTCTGTTTTCTGCGCATTTTTCTTCATTAATCGACTGCTTTTCTTTCTCATTCCTTATTATTATAATTATAATTAAAAATATTTTTTACAAAATCTTTGCAGATTTATTTAATTAAAAGTAAACAAATCAAATATTATCGAAACAATCTAAACGATACAAACTTTATTTTATTTTTGAGGTTTGTTTCTTTTCTTCGTTTAAAATAATTTATTTGCTAAAAAGTGGCTGAACTGCGAAATAAATAAATTAATCACTTATCATTTTTTGAAAAAAATTTTATATTTTATAGGTTAAAGAATTTATTTTTTAATTTTAATTCAAAAATTATTTTTAAATTTTAATAGAACTTTTTTATTTTTCCTTTCATAGATTTTTAAGAAAATTTTCCGTTAATTTAAAATTTTTATTTAATTAATGTTTTTTATGAAAAATTTTGAAAACTTATTTTTGCAATTTTTCATGAAATCGGAGAAATAAATGATTCAAATAAATGAAATAAATGATTGAGTAACTTGTAATCGTTTTCTATTGTTAAATAATCCCTTTTATTTTCCTTCCTTCCTTCCTTCCTTCCTTCGTCTCTTCCTTTTTTCATCCATTTCATTTCATACATTCTTCTGTTCTTTCCCCTTTTTTTAAAATTTCAAAAATTGTTTTTATTTTATAAATTTTGTTTTAATAACAAAGTTTGAAAATAAAAATTTGAACAGTGGAAAAAAGGTTGCAAAAAGTTGGTTTTAATTTGATTAGAATAAATTTATTTATTTTTAATTTAATTTAATAAATTTGATTTTGAAAAGAATTTTTTCTCCAAATTCGAGTAATTGATATTTAATTTAATTGACAGTAAAAAATTCTTTTTATTTTCCATTTTTTCTTCTGTCGAAGTGGAATGAAGGCTTCATGGCAAGAAAATGTGAAGAAATTTCCTCAGTTTTCTTACATTTCTGCTTAATAATTTAAGATTCATTTAAATTTAAACATCCTTTACAATAGGTAATTTTTCTTCTAATTTATTTATTTTTTATTAATTTTTTCTTTGTCGACTTAATTAAATTATTATTTCTTCATAAAATATTTCATAAATCTAAGTTTATTGGTTTAAAATCAAATAATTTTTTACACTATCAATTCATTTGAAATTTTAAGCCAAATATGATTGTGATTTATTGGTGCTTTTAAAAAAACCAGTTAAATTTTTTTTCTTAAATTCTATTCAAAAAAATTGTACCCCACATATTAAAATGTTCCCACTTTTAACCAGTTTTCTTCCATTCTGTTATATTCATTTCTGGCTGGACTCGCTCACTCAGTTCGTGTCGAATTAAGGAGCCATTTGGCAATAGAAGTACAGATGAGTCGCCAGCATCACCCGCATTCCCGAGGGACAGGCTTACTCCTACCGGGGATAGGACCCCCCCAGCATCGGCACTCTTCAACCTTATAGCTTTAGCCCTGCCTACTACATTTTAACTGCTGTGCATGCCTATAAACCAACTTCCGCACAGTTTCTAACTCCGCCTACCAGTAAATTATAACCGCAACGCATTCGGTTTTTGCACTGCCCCATCTTAAAATTCCCTGTGGCGAACTTTAATTTGTGAATCATTTCAAAGTAATCCGAAAATTATTGCATAATTTTATTGTTTTGTTTAATTTTATAGGATTTTTGGTATAATTTCTATGAAAAGTGTGGTAAAAATTAGTTTTAGTCAATTTTTATAGTAAAAGTTTATTTTTTAAGTATAAAACAATATTTTATCTATTAAATTCGATTAGTTCGGAGAATTTTTCGGTATTTTTAATTTTATTTAAATATAAATATTCGTTGAATATTCGCTGCCTTTGATAATTCGGAAAAAAAATTTATTTCCTCATAAAACAAAAAAAATGGAATTATTTCTACTAATGAAATGAATAAAAATTAGGAAGTGAAACCGGTAAATTTGTGGCTTAGTGATTTTGAACTTTGACCTCACATTAGTACCAATTTGGCTAATGTAGATGTTTTTTAAGATTTGTGGTATTTTTCGTTTTTTATTTTCTTTATTTATAAATGCATAAATATTTTTTTGATAAGTAAAATTCCTAAAAAGTAAATTCGTAAATAAAAGATGAACAAAAGCAAAAAAAATAATTATTTGTGAAATTGCAGTAAATTATATTTTTACCATTAAAAAAATTTCCGAATAAAATATGAAAATGTTTGATGAATAGAATTTTAGGATATGAAATGAAGTTTTGTAACGATTGTAATGTTTTCGACATTGTTATCAATTCAGTTTATGCCAGCAAATCGTCATTTTTTAAAAAATGCTTTTGCATTAATATTAATTATTGTATTAATATTTTGTCACAATGTCATGACAAGGTCGTCGAACGATATCGTCACCGAATTTGTCAATCCAAATAGTAAAGATATGCCTTTTGAAAAAATGGTAACTCTCTTCTCCCCATTCATTGAATTCTTTTAATGTTGTCCGTATTTTGGTTGTTTTTTATTTGCCAGTAGTAAAATTAATACTATTTTGAGAAAAAATGAAAAAAATTACAGGTAATTGATCCATCAACAGGTCGTTTATATATTGGTGCTGTTAATAATTTATATGATTTACATTCTTCGAATCTTAATGTAAAAGCACATGCGATTACAGGACCGGAAGAAGATTCAGTTGAATGTCCAAGTTGGTTTTAGATTTCAAGTTATTTTTATTTCTTTTTTGAATTGTTTTAAAAAATTAAAAGTCTTTTCTATATTTCCTTATAAATTTGCAGATCGTTTATCTTGTTTATCATCAAATATTCGCAAAACGCCACATAATTCATACACAAAAGGATTAGCTGTTTATGAAAAAAGTTCTAAGTTGATCGAATGTTCTAGTTTATTTCAGGTTTTGCTCTTTTTCCATTAATATGTATTTATTAGAAAATATTCAATATTTGCTTTAGTATTTCCAGTTTAAATTGAAATAGAGTTTTTCAGGGTCGTTGTCGTTGGCGAAATTTATATAACATTGATCAGAAGGACGTTATAAAGGAATCTCAACAACATATTGTTGCAAATGATAGGTTTTCATCAACTGTGATATTTATTGGAACGGGTACACCCATAGATGGAATTCCAAGTATGCTTATCTTACAAATAACGTATCTTACAAATAACAAATAACAAAATTTTAAATAAAGAATGGCATTCCATGACAAGTTTTTAATAAAAAGTGAAAATGAAATGACGATTTTTGAGAAAGATAAGTTGGAAAAAAAATTTTTTAACTGTGTAAAATTGAGGTGATGTATTATATGTTGCATCGAGTTATGTGCAAAATGGTGGACCATTCCGTGATGATGTGCCAGCAATTGCATCTTTATCACTGGATCAGAATCGACTTTTTGATGTTTCAGTTCAAGGAGTAGGTACGGGTACAGAAATTAAAATGGAACGTAGATTTCGTGGGCAATATAAGTTAGTTTCTTGATCTCTTTTATATGTAATTTCTTATTCAGGTTAAATTTTTTAATTCTCATCATAAGAATGCCATTTTTCAATGAATAATTTATTTTTATTGCTTTGCGTTTCGTTTTTTTTATGAATGATTTATTTCCTACCGCATTTTATTTTTCGGTCTTTTTGCAATGGTTTTTCGTTATTTTGTTGAGTAAATACGTTTGATACATTACAAATTTGATTAATTTAACAATTTTATAGGATAGAATATGTGGGTGGCTTTCAAAGTGGTAATTTTGCATATTTTGCTACACGACAACCAAAAGGTGATAACGCACAAGGTGGTTGGCCGATAATTTCAAAACTTGTTCGTATTTGTACAAATGATGTACATTTTTGGAGCTACACAGAAGTACCATTGGAATGTAATAAAGATGGCGAAACTTATAATCTTATTCAAGATGTTTATTTGTCGAAGCCTGGATATGATTTAGCGATATCGCTTGGTGTTAGGTAGTTATCTAATTTTGCGGATTGTTTTTCAGAGAATAGTTATAAGGAATAATTCAAAAATAAAGTTTTGCAGTGTTGAAGATGATGTTTTATATGGAGTATTCAATAAAGGTAGTGGTAATGAAGAAGGGACACCCAGTCAAAGAAGTGCCTTATGTGTTTATTCAATTGCATTGATTGAAAAAATTTTCTTGGAAAATATTGAAATGTGTTTCAAAGGTGAAACTTATAAGGTCAATTTTCAATTCTTTGTGATAAGTTTCTAATTATTACATCTAATTATTGTGATAAGTTTCTACAAAGTTTTATGTTGAAAATTTTTATTTTTTCCAATTATTACAAAGTTTTATGTAGAAAATTTTTATTTTAATGTCATTTTGTCGAAATATCACCTATTAATATAAAATATTATCTTTTTTCAGTATTATTGATGAGGATATATTTTTAGAATTTGCCATGGTTTAAATCATCAGATCGTTGCCTACAAACAAAATTTAGTGGCCAAGAAGTGTTATGTGGAAAAGATGTTAATAGTTATATTGGCGGTGAGATAGCTATTGAATCAAATGCTGCTTTAGTAATTAGTGATTCACAGTTTACAGCTATTGCAACAAATACAACTCGGGCAAGTACAGTTGCTTTTATCGGAAGTGCTGATGGACGTCTTTTTAAGGTACTTTGCACACAATTCTTTCCTAAATATTTCCGAAACATTTTTTTTATTATAATTTTTTTTATTTCATGATAAACCAGTACCAGTATCCACTGAAATATTTTATATTGAATTGCAATTATTACGAGCAAAAAAATTATAATTTTGAACGAAAATAATAATTATAAGAAAAATTTTATAGGTTGTTGTTGAAAATCGATCTTCGGCTAATATTTATCGAACATTAGATATAGGTAGTGGATCACCAATTTTGCAAGATATGGAATTAGATGGCACAGGCGATTATATATATGTTTTAACTCCAAATATGGTATTTCACTTCAAATCCAGTTTTTCCTCATTTTTATTAGTATTGTTGCGAAACTTTTTCAAGTTTAATTTTATGCTATTTAGGTAAGTAAAGTACGAGTTCGCCAGTGTGATGGTTCAAATACTTGTCAGAATTGTCTTGCTCAAAAAGATCCATATTGTGGTTGGTGTGTACTTAATAGTGGATGTGTTCCTGAAAGTGATTGTACAAAATCAATACCATCAACACCCCATGATTGGTTAACATTTCATAACGGTAAATGTCCCACGTAAGTTATTAAATTCTCGAAATTCGTCAGTTTTTTTTCTATATTTGTTTCTTGCAACAATTCAGAAAAATTCTGTAAACATGAAAATTTTACATGAAATATTCGAAATATTTTAAAAGTAATTATTTCAAATTACTTGATTAAGTTTAAAAATTAGTTCCATTACATCCATTGCATTTTACTGGAAAAAAATTTTTCAGAATTCGTTCAATTGACCCTGACCGAATGCAAATAACGAGTGCTTCTTATTTGAATATTGAGCTGGAAAATCTTCCTAATCTTGGCGGGCAGTTGATATGCAATTTTGATTTTGGTGAAGTTTATAGTACTATTCCAATGATTGCTGATAGTAGTAATGTTGTTTCGGAAAATAAAATCAGGTTTGTGGCCTAAAGAAACTTTGAAAACTATTTTTCCATTATCTCATGTATTTAAATTTTGTGATAAAATAGTGCTTGCGAGATTTTCTTGATTTCTGCAGTTAATATTACAGGTGTCCCACTCCTTCATCAACAAGGTTGCCGAAAATTCCACAAGGATCTGAAAGTCTGGTTGCTCATTTATCAATATCGAATAGCATTGATGGTCCTCCAATCGCTTTCACGAAATTCATTTTTTATGATTGTACTCGTTTTACATCTTGTATTAATTGTGTTAGTAGTTCGTTTCCATGCGATTGGTGCGTTGAATCCAATCAGTGTGTTGCTGGTACAATCACAGAAAATCGATGTCGAGCCGAACATATCATTAATGGGCAAATTGTAAGTTCTCATTTTTTCCTAAATTTTTATTGCAATTTTGATTTCCTTTAATTTATATTTCTGTTCCATAATCGAAACTGACAAATTTGAAATTTCTTAGAGTGCATACTTTGTTAATTTTATTAGAATAACAATTTCAGAGAACTGGTCCATCGCGACGTAAAGGCCCATCATTTTGTCCATATATAATTGCACCAGATGAAAAGTTTTATGTTTCTTCCGGCAAAAGTCGTAAAATATCGGTAAAAGTAAAAAATATAATGGAATTTATGTCCGATTTTAAGTGTCAGTTCAAGATTGAACATAGTATTCACGACAGACTTGCGAGGAAACAAGGTGATGCGATTGTGTAAGTGGTTTCTGTGACTGGTTGTATAAGTAAAAATACAGAATATTCCTTGAGAGATAAATTTTACGAATATAAATTACAACAATTATTTATATTAAATTGTTTGAATTTTTGAGATATTTTTTGAGATAACTATGATCAAAGAAATTTGAAAGAAATGACTCTTAAAAAATCCTGATGAAATTTTTCCTTGGAAAAAGTCTAATAGAAAAATTCAAAAAATTAAGTGTGAAGGAAAGAAGTCGTACCAGAGATACTCATCGTTTTCTTAAATTTTTAAAATTTATATTTTTAAAATATTTTAAAATATGTTGAAAATTCAGGTGTGATGATATGAAATTTGATTACTTTGGTGCTGGAGCTGGTAATGGTACGGCGATCGGTACTTTCTCAGTTTTATGGTCTTCAGAAAATTATCGTGGAGGCCATAAACTAGATAGCTTAGAAGGCATAAATGTCTTCATCTATAAATGCGAACAGCTTGCATCAAATTGTGGTCTTTGTTTGGCTTTAGATGAAAAGAAGTTCAACTGTGGTTGGTGTATGGCCGAACAACAGTGTTCGGAACGAGAGAGATGTATATCAGATTTATCATCGGATTGGGTTGATAGGTTTGTGGATTATTTCACTTTAAAAAAAATTAATGAATGGTACTAAAATTAATGAAACGCAATAAAAACTTGGTAAATAAGTATCAACTTTGAACATCGCATTTTTCTAATTTTTTTCTCTGTTTCAAGACAAAGATAAATTAACGAATTATTCGATAAGAATTTTTAGGCAGGTTTTTATAGTTGTGTAGTTTCATTAGTGAAAATTTCAGAGCACAGCTTTGCCCAAATCCAGTAATAAATGATTTCTATCCTAAAAAAGGTCCAATTGCTGGTGGTACTACTGTAAGTTTATTTTGTAGCGACTTTAACATTATTTTTGCTTATTTTATTTCCCAATTTTGCAATTTCTTTTAAAGTTTGATCGGGAATTTAAATTGTTAATATCTTGTATATATATATATATATATATATATACATATTGTTATATTATTGTTATAGATCACAATTGATGGGATAAATCTAGGACAAAGTTATCAAGATGTCGCAGCTGCTGTAACTGCTGCTAATGTTAGATGTGATGTTGATGAACGATTATACGTAACTGCATCACGTATTGTATGTCGTACACGTCCTAGTCCTGTTCGTAAGATGGCTAGGAATCCAATAATCGTTAAACTTCGCGACGAACATAAATATACAGCGATTTCCAACGAAAGCTTCACATATGTTGATCCATTGATCACTAAAATTGAGCCTTTAAGAGGTAATTCTATTGGTAATTTAATTATTCCCATGGTTGTAAATTGATTTTTTAAAATTTTTACCTAAACTTGACTTGGAAAATTGAAATTATTGCATATTTATTTGGATTTTTGTCGTTAAGTTTATTGCATGATCCATTAAATGTATTAACTGATTTTATGATAGTTATTGTTGATCGAATGCTGAATTTCCGTTATAATTTTGCCGAATCAATTGATGAAGTAATTATCCTCTGAGAATTCAACAACTTAAGGTCCTCAGCATGGTGGAACTGATATAGCAATCTCTGGAGAAAATCTTGATGCAGGATCAAAAGCTGCTGTTTCAATAAATGAAATCGCTTGCCAAATTGTGGAAAGATCAAATGATCGTCTAATATGCACGACAGGTGCTTCAGAATATGATATCGATGGAAGTTTTAAAATTAGCTTTGATGGGTCTGCTCGAGTATATGATAATTTTAGATTCAAATATGAGTGAGTTATCTATCAGTTTTAAATTTTAAAGTCTATTTTGTTGTTTTTTTTTTAAATTGTGGATATCAAGATGCTAAAATAATTGCTTGATGGATAAAGCAATTTTCCCTCATCTTTCGTAATTTGTTTGTAGAAAAAATCCTCGATTCATGACAGTGCGATTCGAGCGAAGTATAGCTTCTGGTGGAATAACTGTAGATGTTTTTGGAACTGGGTTTAAACTTCTGCAGAGACCTCATATGGTGATTTTGCATGCTGATCGTGTCTTGAGAGGGCCAAAATGTGATATTGAAAGGGATGATTTAATGCACTGCAAAACGCCAAATCTTGAAATAACTCGAGATCGGTTTGAATTCAGCTTTTCATAAAGTTTTATAATATTAGCGAATGTAAACGATTCAAAAGAAGGCTTCTCTTGCCTTTTTTGAGAAAATGTTCTCAATGTTAATTCATTTCAATCATTTAATGAACAACAGGAACTTGATCTTTTGCATTCGTTTTATTGTAATGGATGCTGATTTAATCAATTTAGACGGAATTATCCAACTATTGATCAACCGCTTATGTTGGAATATGGATTTGATTTAGATGGTGCCAGCACAAAGTAAATAAATTATTATCGAATCTTAAAATCGAATTAAATTCAGCCTAATTTTAACATTAAATTGTCAAAAAATATAATAGATATTAAATTTCCTTTTCATTTTTTATTTTTTTATTAATTTTTCTTTTTTTTTCCTTTTTTTCTAAGAGCGCTCACCATTTCTGTTAGGATATTTGTGTTGGTTTTTCGGACCAAACAGATTTTACCCACGAAGCACATTTGGGTCGCCAGCATCGTCCTGGTTTTTGAAGGGCAGTTTTATTTCATTTTAGGAGTGGGACTTTATTACTCTCCGAAATGAGTTACCCATAGTGGGATCATAGTCTAAAGAAAGAGATTCGTCTATTGAAACCATATTTTTATTTGTTTTTTATTATAGAAATGATACAATCATGAATCGATTTGGTCGCTTAGCTGTTTATCCTGATCCAGTTATCGAAAAATTTAACGATATTCGTCTCTATCGTCCAGATGATTATCTGACCATAAATGGGCGATATTTGGATGCAGCAGCTACTGAACGTGATGTAATTGTTGTTGTTGGTGGGCAGACTTGCAATTTAACTGCACTAGCGAATCGTGCACTTACTTGTCAACCCCCTTCTTCACGGACTCAAATTGATGTGCCGGAAAATATCGACCCTGATGTTGTTGTGAAAATTGGTGGTATGAGGTTCATTTTTTTAAATCTAAATAGTTGAATGAAGGTAATTTGTCTACTTCTATAGTACTGTAAGTTCATTATATTTTTACTATCTCTTTTAATCAAAGGATATTTTAATCAAAGGATAAGAATATTTTGTTTCGATATAAAATTTGGGTCTATTTTAGGAGTCTAGTTGGTCAGTTATCATATACTTCGAAATCGTCTGGACTTTCATCTCAGTTTTTCATCGCTATATTTTTTGCCATATTTGCTATTATTTTTGCTTTCATTTTTCTGCTGGTTTTTTATCGGTATGGCTTTTTATGGTTTATTTTTCGTTTCATTAAAATAATATGGCCAATGAAAAATTTTTTAAATGAATATTTGATTTTTGCAAATTGAATTTTGAATTCATATTTATCCAAGAATGTCGAAAATTTTAGTCGTAAAAGTACATCACATATGCGAGAAATGAAACATTTACGAAGTCAAATAGATCAAATTGAAATGAAAGTAGCACTTGAATGTAAAGAAGCTTTTGCCGAATTGCAAACGTCAATGAATGCCTTAGCTGCTGATTTACCTCTTGGGACCTCTTTCATTCCATTTTTATCTTACAAGCAATATATTGCTAGAGTGAGTTTACTTTTTATTTTGCTTAACCTAGTGAATAGACCATTGTTTAATAAATTTAATTTTTTATGATTGCATCACATTCATGAAAAGTTTTTTTTTCCAGGAAGCAAGATAAATTTCTTTATAAAATCGAGTTGTGTTATATGTCATAGAATTTTTAGGTATTATTCCCGAATAATTATCACAATCATCCAGTGATGAGAGATCTTGAAGTAGATAGCCAGCGAGCACATTCTATTGAAATGGGTCTGCGAGCTTTTAGTAAACTCCTTATGAATCGGCACTTCCTTTTGTCATTTGTTCGGGCAATGGAAAATAATAAATATTTTTTGGGAAAAGATCGTGTAGCTGTCGGTTCACTTTTAATGGTCGTATTGATGGTAATATTATATTAATAATTTATTAACTTTTTTTGTAATTTCCATTTATTCCAGCGTATTTTTGAACTAAAAATTGAAGTTTTTCAGAATTTTCATGTTTATCATAGTTATATTTATTATATTTATTATAAAATGTTTCATTTATAAATCAAATAAATAAATTTATAAATTAAATTTGTAACTTCAGGAGAAAATGGAATATTGTACGGAAATTTTGAAACAGCTGTTGAAAGAATTAATTGATAGAACAGTTGAGAAAAAGTTTCAACCAAAGATTTTGTTTCGGCGTTCTGAAAGTATAGCAGAACGGATGTTGGCTGCATGGTATACATCGTTGATGTATCGATATTTAACGGTATTGTGATATATTAATATTTCGATTCAATTTCAATATCTTGTTTTGGCCGGTTTTTTCCAAAATATAGCTAAAGAAATTCTTCAAATGTAAAATTAAATGTATCAGGTGGCCATATCTCGAAAAAAAACTTGGATGAAAATCTGCTGATTGGGACTTGTCTTTTTGAAAGAGTTCAGCGAAGAAAAAGGTTCATCTATCCAATTTGTTTAGGACTGCGCTGGGCAAAAATTGTATGAGTTGTACTGGGCCATGAAACAGCAAATGGAAAAAGGACCCCAGGATGCGATAACTATGGAAGCTCGATATTCGTTATCTGAGGAAAAACTGTTGCGTTCATCGATTGAATTTCGCGAACTCACTATTTTTGTTGCAGCTGATCATCATTCAGTTGCAGGCGTGGAATATCCTGTAAGAGTGTTGGATTGTGATTCTATCAGTCAGGTAACTTTCATTCCTTACACTTAGCTTCTCCAAAATTTAGCCTCAAATTTTGTGGATAAGGTTCTAAAAATTAGATCCATGCCATATTTCGTTTTTTATTTCGTTTATTTCGTTTCGTTTTTTGTATATATTTTTTGTTTTATAGGTGAAAGAAAAGTGTCTAGATGCTAAATATCGTACTATTCCCTTTTCTGATCGTCCTTCAGTCAGTGACCTTGATCTCGAGCTTCGATCTTCTTGTCCTCGAATTATTTTGCAAGATGTAGATAATACATCGAAAGTTGAGCCTGGTGGATGGAAACGAATTAATACTTTGGCTCATTATAAAGTTTGTTTTTAAAATAGAAAAGAAAATTATGGTATACATATTATATACGATTAGTATATCAGTAATATTTGTTAAAAATTTGTAAATTTATTCATCTTCTAACAACTCCATTACTGGTTAGGCTGGCTGCAATGCTATAATGCTAAGATATTTTCTAGCTATTCGATCCTATGTCATCTCTAGAAGCCAATTATTTTTTGATCTTCCATTCAAAATCTTTCCTGACCAGTCCAGGTCTTGATTGTTCCTCCTTGCTTTTGATGCCACAGGATGATTATAAAGTGATGAAATATGCGTCAACTCCTATATATTGGGTCACAAAGAACGTGACCTAATCAGCGAAGATGACGTTCTATGATGGTACTGCTAATTCAAGTGGTATAGGAGCGAAGATGGATCCAATCATGTGAAGTATTATCCGAAAAAAACGGATCTTATTCCACTCTCATTGGTTATGTCTCGCAGTCATATAGCAAGATCGAGCGAATTATAGTTATAGGGACGCTGTCTTTTGTTTTTATGGTGATTTCGCGAAGGCTTCATAAAGTTTCGTCAACAGGAAAGAACACGCACAAATTATAATGAAATGCAAATAATGTTATATGATGTATTGACAATTGCAGCGAGAATTAGACACAGGATCAAACAAGATGTTGATAAAATGTTTTTATCAAAAAGGACTACAACGTCAATATATTCAAGGTATTATGATGCTATGCTCTGGATTGATTGCAAACCTCTTGAGTGCCGAAAAGCAATGCCCATTATCCAGTCTATCTTATATTTGAAAATTTTAAAAGAAGGGAGCCTTGGCGCACACTAGTTCTTATCTCAAAAAGTCTCAGTTCCTTATATACACAGACCTGATCTTTATGAGATGAATCATCTTTGGAACACCGTTACATTCTTTCCAAAGCGAAAACCACTCCATCGGTTGAATCGAAAGTAGTTGCAAATTCGATGAAACAAATGGCGGCAGGTTATTGATATTTTTATTTAATTTACTGATTCCTCCATAATTCTTGAAATCGTGTTTGGGAATTAGGAGCATTTTGATTTGCTCCAGTCATTCTGATATTACTTCTTTCTTCCATACCAGAGAGTACTAGAGAGTTGAAAGCGTCATGAAGGACGGTGAACAACATTTAGTGAGATCGAATCGAAAACCATCTTCAGGAGTTTCTGTCCCGCAGTGCTGCAATAATTTGTAATTCTTCGAAGCATCCGATAGTCTCCACACATTCATGCTTTGGCAGCTTTTTCAGACAGCTGGAAAATTACTTCCGATACCCATCTAACGTAATCTCCTATTATCATATTGTATTGTGGATATGGCTTTCGAACATTCCTTTAGTAGTGACCAGTATTCATCTGCCGTTTCAGGATGTCATTGATATTCATTTCACTGAGGTGCTGTAATAATTCTGTTTGAAATACCTTACAACGAATCTTTCAATTTGAGATAGTTGTGATGCCAATGGTCGACTAATTGAAACGACTAGTCGTCCTAATAGTGAATTATATACAGAAATGTAATTTTCGTTTTTTTTATTTTTAAATTTTCTTTATTTTTCTCCTTTTTATTTTATTTATAATGTTTTTTAAATTTTGTTTTATTATCTTCATTTTTTTTTTATTTTTGAGCATATTCCAAAAACTATAACATCGGTTAATCAATTTTCTATTGGCCTATGCGTAGGACTAGTTCCTTGTTTAATCCTAAGCCTTGGCCAAAGATAGTTGAAGTGGGGAAGACCTACATTCATTAAGCAGGCGACATCCACATGACATTAAGAAAGAGTGTGGATAGTGATCGCTTGGCTTGCGACGTCCATAAACATTCTGACGTTGCATGCTGCTAACATCTCGTAGCGTTTGCAGAGAGCCATTTCCCTTGAAAGTTTTCGAGCAATTGTTTTGGCTCTCGAGCAGATCTTAAGCCTTAAGGTCGTTTGATTACGCCCAGATTGCATACTTATCGCAGTACCACCTGGCTGAAAATGTTATGAGCGTCGGTTACCGTGTTAAGAAGATCTAACCCTTTAACCATGGAATCACTTGGAGTTACAGGTGGGTCCCCAGCAATCACCTGGATTTTTGTTACCATAGTCAGGTTTTCTTCTGTCAAGGACAAAGGTAAAAAAATTAAGGAAGAAAGGTAAACTAGGAAATAAAAAAATTGTTTAATATATATATATATAAAATATATATTTTTTAAAATTTACTTGATTGATTGATTTAATATATATTTTAATTTATTTTGAAAAAAAAATTAAAAATTTTAAAGTTTAGGAGAACTTAGCTGAATTGTTATCAGAAATTAAAAAAAAATTCACAAATAAAACAAAATAAATAGAGAATACTTTCTTGAAGAAAGAAGATATCAAACAAAAATTAATTTTTTTTTAATGCTCATTATAAAATTTATTTTTATCATAGAAAAGAAAATTATGTTTATGTTGTATATGACCATTATATCAGAAAATTTGTTAGGAGCTCGTAATTTATTACATGGCAAAGCTTTATTTTCAGGTTTTGAATAATGCTACTTTGGCTTTACTTTCCCGTCAAACTTCTTTATATAATTTATCGTTATTGAGCGAAAGAAGTGACAGGTCAACTTTTTCATTATCAAAACAAAGCCCAACTTTGGCTCGACCATTCGGAACGAGTTCCAACTCGCAATGCAAAGGTTTGCTTGCAGCAAGTTAGCATTTTCGTTGATTTTAGTTCTAGTGTCCAGTTTTATTTTTTGCAATCTCCCCCTCTTTGGTCGTGCCATCTCAAATTTTTTGGTTTCAGATTCCGATTCTAATTATAAGTTATATCATCTGGTGAAACCTTCAGAGCACGGTCCATCTGATTTGCAAGACAAAATGGTCACCGAAATTTATCTCACCAGGTTTATTTTTTTATATTACCTAATATATACCACCTGTCTTTTCAGAAAAAAAAGGTACATTTATTTTGCCAAACTCAGAAAAGAAATAGATTTTGTTATATGTTTTGTCTGAATTCGGTTAGTCTTGCCATAAATGATAATTTTTCTCATAGTATACTTGGTGCTGAAGACCAAATATCGATTTAGTAAGGTCGAAATATGAATAATAATAAATATGATGACCAAAGAGAAGGCGAAATATCGGAAGAATTGCCGCATATTTCATCATAATTCAAAGCATTGTTGCAGATTGTTAACTATGAAGGGTACTCTTCAGAAATTCATTCAAGATTTACTGGAAGTTATTTTTTCAACTTCTGGACTTAATGGGCTCTTTCCAGCATGCATTAAATATATGTTCGATTTTATGGACGACCAGGTAAAGATAATTTTATACAGTATATAATATATAAGAATGATTCTTAATATTTCATTTTTATTCACTTTTTTGAGGCTCGAGAACATGGTATTGATGATGATGAAGTTGTGCATGCTTGGAAAAGTAATTCGTTGCCGTTGAGATTCTGGGTTAATCTTATCAAGAATCCGCATTTTGTGTTTGACATTCAAAAACCAACAAAGGTAAGATTGAATAATTTCGTCTAATTCTAATTTTATAAAGCTTTTTCAGCAGTTTTATTCTTCATTTTTTTAATCTTTTATTTTTATTCTGAGTTTTTTTCTATCGTTCAGCTGGAGGGCTGCTTATCCGTGATTGCCCAAACATTAATGGATGCTTGTTCGACTCAAGATCATCAGTTGACAAAAGATTCTCCTAGCAGCAAATTACTATTCGCTAAAGATATATATCAATATCGTGATTGGGTTGATAAGTAATTTTTCTTAACCATTAATGAGAATTTTTATAATTTTCATTATTTACATCATTTTCAAAAAAAGCGGAGAGAAAAAATGGTGCTCAAAATAATTAATTGATTAAGCACCTGTTTTTAAAATGTATCAAAATGTCGGTAATTATTCTCTTGTTTTAGCTATTACAGCGAAATTCGAGAAATGCCACCAATAAATGAACAGGATATGAATGCTTTGTTGGCGGAAGAATCTCGTTGCCATGCTCGTGATAGATTTCATATTTTTAGTGCCCTCAATGAACTTTACAAGTCATTTCTTTTTTATTTTAAAAATTTTTTGTAACACTTGTTATGGTTTTTTCTTTTATTTTTATTCTTTTCAGGTATTTGGAGCAATATAAGGAACAATTACGTGAAGAACTTGATTCAAATCAATATGCCATTAATCAGAAACTTCCTCAAAAGTTTCAAGAAATGTTAAACACGATGGAATGTTTAAGTGATCAGTGCAGTAATGGTAGCGTGGGAACAGTGATTAACCATTCGAATCGAATTTATCGCAGGCCCAAAGAGGAACGAGTTTAGTTAAATAATAAATTTATTAAGTAGGTAAAGGCTTAAATAGGCTATTGAATTGTTGTCGAAAAAATTTTATTTAATTTGAAAGAAAAATTATCTCATGAGTGGCAAATTTTCCATAATTATCGGGATTACTAGAAATTCTTTTGTAATTCTTTGTTTGTGCCTTTCTATTATTTCATGGATTTTAAACAATTTTTCATAAATTGCAGTTGAAAACTGCATTGAAAATTGCAAAATATAATTTTTTATGTTATATTTTTTTATGTTATAATTTTTTATGTAATTTTTTCATGAACATCTTATCATTTCACTTATTATTTGTATTATTTATTTCCTTTTATAATTGTGCAATTTTCAAAGTTTTTTATCCATTTATCATTGTGGGAAAGTAACCAAATATTAATAGAAGTAGGAAACGATACGATACTCTAATTTTATTATTTTATTATTTTATTTTGATATCAATGGATATTTTCAAAATTTTATGGTTTTTTTTTCCATTCACTTAGATTTTCACTAAAATTTTTTTCTTTTGCCCATAAGAAAATGTAGACATCTTTTTTCAATTAACTTTTTCTAATATAAAGTTTTTTTCAGCATTTTATCTTTTAAATATTTTTTTGTCGTTTTTGCGGGTATATTGAAGTAATTAATCGTTTCATTTAATTTCACTGTTCATAGGTTTCACTGAAAAAGAGATGTCATAATCAGTTCGATCTTTTTTTTTACGAAGGAATTTCATTGTGAATACTTTTACGTGAGTACTTTTACGTGTATTTGAAGAATGATACACTTTAATAAAACACTCATTATTAATATTATCATATATAAATTCTTTAATTCTTTAATTTTTCAGAATAATTACATCTAATGAAAGATGTGTTTTTGGTGCTTTAATTTTTATTTTTATTTTCTAAAGGATTCTGATGATCGGTTGTTCATTTGTTTTTTATATTTATTTTTCGTTTTTCATCAACTGTGTTCTTGTTTGTTTGCTATTATTTATGTTGTATGCATTACATCTTTTGTTGACTGATTTCATCTCATGTATTTAGGGTAATAACTTAAATGTATTTATGTCTCATGGAATAGAATAAAAAATTTATATACGCCAAAAGATAATTTAAGACAAAAAAGAATGTCGAATATTTCTAGAATGAAGAGGATTAGGTTCGGCTTTGGCAACATATGTTGCCTGGGTGGCATTGGCTATTATCACTGCAACCATCATTTATGCACACTCCGTATAAATTATGATTATGTCCACAATATGGACAGCAATAGCCATTTGATAAGCACTGAAAGCCAGATGGACATACACCCTGCAAAAAGTGTATTGACGGGCGAGAATTTAAGGCATTAAGCCGGTGTGGGGAGTGCGAGTAAGTTTCTTATTTCACTTATTATTTGGGTCATTTCGGTCTGAATAGTTCGCATTAATAATTACCTGATTACATCGACCACCGTGTTTGCCAAAGGGACATTCGCAACAATAGCTTGAGGCTGTGCACGTGGTATTTCTCGGACAAAATCCATTATCACAACGACCTAAAGCCGTAGTCCCACCACATGCATCTGAAATATTTTGCAGTTGATGCGTGAAATACGCTTTGAGAGAGAAAAACTGCGACAAGTCAGTCAGTCGTATGTGCTATGTCAGTGGTACTTAGTAGATATAACTAAACCATACTTACAGTTTTGTTCATTTCCGGTAGCGGTGCAGCAAATACCATTAAGGCATATCTGATCAGAAGCACAGTGGTGTGACTTGGTGCAACGAATTTGCGAAATTTGTTTGTTCGGACAATATCCTTTAAGAATTTTTAATTGAGTTTTCGTCATATTTGCATTTTAAAGAGAATCGAGTTTCATTTAGTTCATAAATGAGAAAGCAGTTTCTAAATTCGTATAGCACAGTTACTTAAGTTTGTTTTCTTTTCAAAGATCGCCATCTCTATTTGGAATCGCTCAGCTGGTTGCAGGTCCGCCAAACTGCCAGTTAGTCACTTGGCATTAGAGTGATTATACCCGCCGATTTTTTGAAAGGCTTCCTAGGATAGGGGGAGGGGGCGTGGAACTCCATTGTCTGCGCTTTCAATTGAGGGCAGCCATCCAGCGTTCTGAGCTGTTCTCTCCCTCACTTATAATTAGACGCATTACTTATAACCCAATATTAGAATGTTGCAAAAGTGTCTAAATTATCTGTTGAGATTAACGATAAGCAAGCTTTTATTCTTTATAACTTATAGGCTAAAATTTATTTTATACTGAAATTACTCTTCAAAAAATCAACGAAATAAAAGATGTTCACCGCCAGTATATCTGTCGAGCGGTGCAATACTTGGCGTGCTAACCGCGCAGCAACATCCGTTTATGCAACTCGTTGCACTATTTTGATAATACAAAGTGCACTGCGAGGCTGTTTTGCAACTATAACCAAGCATTCGATCACCATTTAGGCAGTTTTGATCAACTTTACAGCATGCTTAATTATATTATAT